GCTGTTTCGGTCAAAGAGCTGACGACTTGCCAGGGCCAGCCTCAACAAAATGCTCGAACAAAAATTGCTACTGAGGCCCTTTGGGGCCGTCTTGGGGCCCTTTTGGGCAGTCTTGCGGCGTCTTGGAGACCTTGGACCGTCTTGGGGCTCTCTTGGCGGCCTCTTGGGGCCCTCTCCGGAGCCTCTTGGGGGCCTCTTTGAGCTCTTCTGGGGCCGTTTGGGGGCCCTCTTGGGCCGCCTCTGGAACCCTCTTAGGCCGTCTTGGGGCACTCTTGGGTCGTCATGGGGCCCTCTTGGGGACCGCTTGGGTCGTCTTGGGGCGATTTTGGGGGCCTCTTGGCCTATCTTGGACCGCGTAACGACAGAAAAAGGCGGATGCTGAATATGCCTGCTTCCCCATACGAATTAGACGATGTGTGCCCCTTTGGCGTCCACTCAGGGCCCTCTCAGAGCGTCTTCGGGGCATCTTGGACCGCCTTGGAGCCACCTTGGGGCGTCTTCTGGGAATCTTACACCGTTTCGGAACAAACTGAAGTTGACTTAGGCCCTCTTGGGCCGTCTGGGGGCCCTCTTGGACCGTTGTCGGCCCCTTTGGAGGGCCTCTGGGGCCGTCTTGGGACGAACTGTTGGGCGTCTTCGCCCGTCTTGGGCCTTTTCTGGGGGCCCTCTTGGATAGTGTTCGGCCCCCTTGGGGCGCCTCTGGGGCAATATTGGGACGATCTTTGGGCCTAATGGGCCGTTCGAGGCCCTTCTGGACCAGAAAAAGGGAGAACCAGAAAAACATGCAACACCCACTGAAAAATCAATGTGTTGGGCCTCCTTAAACCCTCTCGGGGTCTCTCTGAAGGGCCCCTGGAGCCGTCTCCAAGCTCCCTAGCCGCCTGGAGGCCATCTGAAACTCTCTTGGTGCTGACTTGGGGCCCTCTGGGGCCGTTTGGGTGCCCTCTTGGACCGTCTTGGGGCGCTCTGACCGTTTCATTAAACAATCAAAGGAAACGGGCCGTGGAAGGCGCCCGCGAGCCGCTTCATTCGAATTATGCTGGCGAAGGACCCAACCATATGCAATTGTGAATAACGCATTGTGGGTGCCGCTTTCGGTGGAGCTCCCTGTGGGGCCAGAAACGCGTGAGGGACGTGCCGTAATGGGTGGGGGCCACTGGGGCCTTCGGTGGGGCTCCCTATGGGCCACGAAACGCTGTACTGGGTGTGGCTGACGCATGCGGGCGGTGCCCCTCGCTGGAGCTCCCGATGAGGCCACGAAACGCTGTACTGAATGGGGGAAACGCATGCGGGCGGTGTTGCTGGGGTCTTTCTGTGGACCTCCTTACGGGGCCACGAGACGCTGTACTGGGTGGTGGCCGACGCAGACGGGCGGTGCTACTGGGGCCTTGGGTGGAGATCCCTATGGGGCCACGGGAGGGGGGGACGCATGCGGGCGGAGCTCTCTATGGGTCCATGAAACGCTGTACTGGGTGGGTGGTCGCATGCGGGCGGGCCACTGGAACTCCCAACGGGGCCACGGAGCGCTGTACCGGGTGGGGGGGGCGCATGCGGGCGGTGCCACTGGGGCTTGGGCTCCCGATCAACGGGGCAGCGAAATGCAATACTGTGTGGTGAACGACGCATGCGGGTAGTGCCACTGAGGTCTTTCTGCGGAGTTCCTTTCAGGGCCACGCAACGCTGTACTGGGTGGTGGCTGACGCATGCGGGCGGTGTCACTGGGACCATCGGTGGAATTCCCCATGTGGCAATGAAGCGCTGTACTGGATGGTGGCTGACGCATGCGGGCGGTGCCACTGGGACCTTCGGTTGAGCCCCCTATGGGGCCAGGCAACGCTGTACTGGGTGGTGGCTGACGCATGCGGGCGGTGCCACTGGGATCTTCGGTGGGGCTCCCTTATGGGGTCACGAAACGCTGTGCTGGGTGGTGGCTGACGCATGTGAGCGGTGCCACTGGGGCCTTCGGTGGAGTTCCCCTATGGGGCCACGAAGCGCTGTGCTGGGTGGTGGCTGACGCACGCGGGCGGTGCCAATGAGACCTTTGGTGGAAATGGTGGCGCTCTCTGTGGGCCCACGAAACGCTGTGCTGTGTGGTGGCTGACGCATGCCGGCGGTGCCACTTGGACCATCGCTGGAGTTCCCCATGCGGCCATGAAGCGCTGTACTGGATGGTGGCTGACGCATGCGGGCGGTGCCACTGGGACCTTCGGTGGAAATCCCTATAGGGCCATGAAGCGCTGTACTGGATGGTGGCTGACGCATGCGGGCGGTGCCACTGGGACCTTCGGTGGAAATCCCTATAGGGGCCAGGAAGCGCTGTGCTGGGTGGTGGCTGACGCATGCGGGCGGTGCCACTGGGACCTTCGGTGGAGCCCCTTGTATGGGGCCGCGAAACGCTGTTCTGGGTGGTGGCTGACGCATGTGGGCGGTGCCACTGGGGCCTTCGGTGAAGCGTTGTGCTGGGTGGTGGCTTACGCATGCGGGCGGTGCCAGTGAGGTTGTCGGTGGCGTTCTCTATGGGCCCACGAAACGCTGAGCTGGGTGGTGGCTGACGCATGCGGGCGGTGCCAGTGGGACCATCGGTGGGGCTCCCTATGGGGCCACGGCACGCTGTACTGGGGGGTGGCTGACGCATGCGGGCGGTGCCATTTGGGCCTTCGGTGGAACCCCATTATGGGGCCACGAAGCGCTGTGCTGGGTGGTGGCTGATGCATGCGCGCGTGCGGGCGGTGCCACTGGGACCTTCGGTGGAGCTCCCTGTGGGGCCACGAAACGCTGTACTGGGCGGTGGCTGACGCATGCGGGCGGTGCCACTGGGGTCGTCGATGGGGTTCCCCCATGTGGCAACGAAGCGCTGTACTGGGTGGTGGCTGACGCATGCGGGCGGTGCAACTGGAACCTTCGGTGGAGCCCCCTATGGGGCCACGAAGCGCTGTGCTGGGGGGTGGCTGACGCATGCGGGCGGTGCTACTGGGGTGGGGCCACGAAGCGCTGTGCTGGGTGGTGGCTGACGCATGCGGGCGGTGCCAATGGGACCTTTGGTGGGGCTCCCTATGTGGCCACGAAGCTCTGTACTTGGCGGTGGCTGACGCATGCGGGCGGTGCCATTTGGGCCTTCGGTGGAGCCCCCTATGGGCCCACGAAACGCTGTGCTGTGTGGTGGCTGACGCATGCGGGCGGTGCCACTGGGGCCTTCGGTGGAGCTCCCAGGGGGGAGGAGAGGGAGGAGGAGGAGGGAGGAGGGGGAGGAGGAAGGAGGCGGGAGGAGGAGAACGCGGTGCGCTGTCTCTTCAAAACGAAGACCCAACACCACAAGATGGTTGGGACAAAATATGATAGAGACGTGGCCATTACATCCGGGTCCGCCTCACCACTCCTCTGCACTCCTCCCTAGAGGGCTTCGCCCTACCAAAACGTTCATCACTCGTACCTCGCTCTTTCCGTTACCTAGGCCGGCACGGGACCAGAAAGAGCGGACCAAGAACTTGCCCGAGATGGCTCACGGTACCCTTCGCTCTTGGGAGCCTTGGTGGTAAGTGCCGCTCATTTCTGGGAGCCCTAATGTTCAACGACTTTTGCGTTGCCGCTCGCTCTTGGGAACCTTGGTGTTGAGAATTGTTTGCGTCTCGTGGGGCCGTCTTGGGGGCCTCTTGGGCACTTGTCGGCCCTCTGGGGCCGTCTGGGGGGCCCTCTTGGACCGTTATCGGGCCTTTGGGGTGCCTTTTGGGGCCGTCTGGGGACTATCGTTGGGACCTTTTGGGTTGCCTGGAGCCCTCCTGGGCTCGAGAAAGCGAGAACCATTCCAAAACCATCAAAAACCGTAGGGACATCAATGCTTTTGGCCTCCTGAGGTCCTCTCGGGGGCCCTCTTGAGGGCTCTTGGGCCGTCGCGGGGCCAGCCCAGTCTCCGCGCCCAAGCAGCCCAGCCCCCACACCGCCCCCCTGGGCCCCCCTTGAGAATCTCTTGGGGCCCCCTTGGGGCCCTCTTGGAGGTCTCGTGGGGCCGTCGTGGGGCCCTCTGGGGCTGTCTGGGGGTCCTCTTGGGCCGTCTGGGTGCCCGTTGTCGGCCCTTTTGGAGGACCTCTAGGGCCGTCTTGGGGCAAGCTTTGGAGCCTCGTGGGCCGTGTTGGGCCTCTCAGGAGCCGCAAAAGCGAAAACACGAAGAACCTTCAACAACCGTAGAGGAAACAATGTTTTTGGCCTCCTGAGGTCCTCGCGGGGGCCCTCTGGAGGGCCCCTGGAGCCGTCTGGAAGCTCTCTTGGACTGCCTGGGTGCCACCTGGGGCTCTCTTGGGGCCGTCTTTGGGCCGTTTTGGGGCCAACTTGGGCTGTCGTTGGGGCCCTTTAGCCGCTTCGCTCGACAAAAGTGAAGGGGCCCAGGGACACACAAATAAACATACACAAATAACAAGATTCCCCATATGTTCGAATAGTTTCTGGGTTTTTGTCTTCCCCCCCCCACTTCCCATATGTTCCAATCTTTTCTGGGGAATCGACGATTAATTGTGCCGGGGGCCTCTTCGAATTGCGAACCACCTCCTCTCCGCCTCGTCTCCGCCTTCTCTCCGCCGCCTCCGCCTCCGCCTCCGCCTCCGCCTCCGCTTCCGTCTCCTCATCCTCCGTCTCGACCGCCTCCGCTTCCGCCTCCGCCTCCGCCGCCTCCACCGCCACAGTCTCCTCCGCCTCCGCCTCCACCTCCTCATCCGCCTCTGCCTCCGCCTGCGCCTCCGCCTCCGCCTTCTCCTCCGCCTCCGCCTCCGCCTTCTCCTCCGCCCCCTCGTCCTCAACCTCCTCCTCCTCCTCCTCCTCCTCCTCCTCCTACCCGTCCTCCTCCTCCTCTTCCTCCTCCTCCTCCTCCTCCTTGTCCTTGTCCTCCTCCTCCTCCTCCGCCTCCGCCTCCGCCACCTCCTCCTCCTCATGTTCCTCGTGTTCTTTGTGTTCCTCGTGTTCCTCTTCCTCCTCTTCCTCCTGGTGGTAAGTCGAAAAAGGGGGACGGGGGCCTCGTTCGTGTCCTCGCTCCAGCCGCGAGTAGGGAAAGAGGCCGTGTTCATCTGGTACAATAAGCTTAGCGCCTTTTGTCAGGGGTGCGGCAGGGGGGGCGGATGGGGCTCCTCCCTTCTTCATCCTCCCTCTTCTCTCAATCCTCCCTCCTCCTCCCCGTCCTCCTCCTCCTCTTCCTCTTCGTCATCCTCCTCCTCTCCTTCTTCCTGCTTCTCCCTCCCTCCCTCCCTCCCTCCCTCCGTCCCTCCCTCCTAAATTACCTCCCTCCCTCCCTCCCTCCCTCCGTCCCTCCCTCCCTAATTACCACCTTCCCTCTTTCCCTCCCTCCATCCCTCCCTTCCTCCCTCCCTCCTTCCCTTCCTCCCGCCCTCCCTCCCTCCTTCCCTCCATCACTCCCTGCGCCCGCCCGCCCTCACTTCCCTTCCCTTCCCTTCTTTTTCCTTCCCTTCCCTTCCCTTCCCTTCCCTTCCCTTTTCTTTCCTCTCCTCTCCCTTCCCTTCCTCCCTTCTCCTCTCCCTTCCCTCCGCCTTTCCTCCCTCCCTCTCTCCCCCCTCCCTCCTCCCGCCCTCCCTCCCTCCCTCCCTCCCTCCCTCCCTCCCTCCCTCCTCCCTTCTCCTCCTCCTCCTCTTCCTCCTCCTCCTCCTCCTCCTCCTCCTCCTCGTCCTCCGCCTCCTCTTCCTCCTCCTCCTCCTCTCCTCCTCCTCCTCCTCCTCCTCCTACTCCCCGTTATCCTTTTCTTACTCTTCCTCCCGTCCCCCTCTTCCTCCCTCCTCCCTCCTCCTCCCCCTCCTCCTTCCTCCCCCTCCCCCTCCCCCTCCTCCTCTCTCTCTCCTCCTACTCCTCCTCCTCCCCCTTCTCATCCCTCCCTCCCTCCCTCCTTCTCCTCCTCCTCCTGCTGCTCCTACTCCTCCTCCTCCTCCTCCTGCACCTCCTCCTCCTCCTCCTCCTTCTCCCCCTCCTCCTCTTCCTCTCCCTCTTCCTCCTCCTCCTCCCCCTTCCTCTTCCTTATCTTCCTGCTCCTGTTCCTCCTCCTCTTCCTTATCCTCCTCCTCCTCGTCCTCCTCCTCCTCTTCCTCCTGGTTCGTGGTTCCTGGTGGCTGAAGAAACGTGTTTCGTAGCCGCCCCACCCAGAGCCGGTCGGCCCTGGGGGGGCGATGAACAAAAAGAAGGCCAGAGCGGCCTGCGGGGGTCGAAGGAGGGGGAGTGATGAGGAGGTACGGGGGGCGGGGGAGGAGGAGGAGGAACAGGCGGAGAAGGATGTGGAGAAGGATGTGGAGGGGGAGGAGGAGGAGGAGGAGGAGGAGGAGGAGGAGGAGGAGGAGGAGGAGGAGGAGGAGGAGACGGAGGAGGAGGAGGAGGAGGGGGAGACCAAGAGTAACCACGGGGGGATACGTCCCTCTATGCAATTGGGCTCCCAAGGGTGGCGCCAGCTGCCAGCCCCGCCACCTGGGCGGGGCTCAACGGCGGCGCGTCGAACTTGTTCACGACGTTGATCCGCAACATTATGCAGGGTGGGCTGGGAGGGCGAGCGAACGACAAGTGGGGTGGCGAGCGCGCCGCCGGGGAAATGCCAACTGCAAGACGAGGTCAGAAACGCCCCGATGCGTCGTCCAGCTAGAATCCCCCGGGCGATCCGATCTTCGACGAACTCAGGGTCGTCGCTGGAAATGCCCGAATCTACCCCATCGAGCACAGCTGCGTGCCTCAATTCATAGAAAGCGTAGGAGGCGTCGCGGCGCCTGAATATATGCGAGTTCTGAAACTGCTGATAATCAGGACTGCCGCGGCGGCTTCGCGTCGTCGACGTTCGGGGCCGCCGAGCGCCCAGTCTGCTGATTCGGTTTCCGATGCGAGGCTCCTGCGTTATAGTTGCGGCCCAGGGTTTGCGCGACTCTGACTGCTCATTCGCCATCGCAATATACTTTCGCTTTCTTTGGTAGGCGAACGGCCTGGACAGCCCGCGCCGACGTGCATCTAGTTACTTCCTGAGCGGATCTGCAGAATGGTCTTCTCAAGCTCAACGTCGCCATGGCAAAGACCAGCTTGAGTTTTCGGCTGGCGTTCGTTGATCCATTCGGGGTGAAGTGGCGAGCGGATCAAGCATGGAGGACAAGACCATTCGGGCCACGCTCTCCGACGCCCGAGTTCCCATGCCAGCTGCGCCATGGAGCCGCGGCCATTCAGTGGGACAGAAAAAGAACATCTAATTCGTCGCGGGGCGCGCGAGTCGGGGATCGTGTCAATCCAGACCCGGGTCAGCAGGAAACCAAAAACTGCAATGCAGGAAAAAAAATTGCAACGCAGGTCTTCGCAAACCTGGGTCAGCCAATACGAGCGGCCGCCTCGCGGCCACGAGCGGCTCGCTAACCCGGGTCAGCCAGAGGGGGTCTTCGCAGGATCCTGCAGGATCCGGTGCCCTGGCTGACCCCCGTCTGCATTGACCCCCGTCTCGAGGCTCCCGAGCGAGGAAGACCGCGACGCTCCCGGCGAATAGTTTCCAACGGCGGATCCGCGGCTGAGCGCCCGCCCGTCTGAGCTGGCTGCTCCGCGCGTCGTGCCCGCGTCGCCGCGAAGTGCGGGCGGGAGAGGGCGCGCCGTGCGTCGCCCCTCGGGGTGGCCCCGCCCTCTGCCGGCGGGCATGCGGGGCAGCTCTCCTTCCTCCTCCTCCTCCTCCTCCTCCTCCTCCTCCTCCTCCCCCTCCTCCTCCTCCTCCTCCTCCTCCCTCTCCCTCCTCCTCCTCCTCCTCCTCCTCGTCCTCCTCCTCCTCCTCCACCTCCTCCTCCTTCTCCTCCTCGCCCTCCTCACGAGATGATGATTGCGTTGTCCCAGTGTTTGCTCAACTTCGTCGACTCGCCTGGCACAGTCAACTGCCCAGTGCGTCCGAGACGCGCCCCTCCAATTGCGGCGGCGGCGATTGATCGCGTCTGCTTGCTGATGCGCAATTAGATCACTTGCTGACCGACCTGGATGTTCTCGATGCTGCTTCGTTGTGCCAAGAGAGGCCCGAGGAGCTGAGCACTGGTGACTCGTTGTTCCGCGCTGCTCAAACCATTCATCAGCGTAGCGCTGATGTCGCCCCCCCTGCTCCTGCATCCCCACGAACTCCTCAATCGCTGTATGCGACTTTCGATTGCGTGCGCGACTGAATTCTTAACGCTTGAAGCCTATCTTGCTTCGATCGCGCATAGCTTCGCGCCTTGGCTGTGCCTGCCGTGCAAGAACAGGTGCAGCAATGGCAACCATGTGAAGAACGAGAGTGGAGACATATTGGTGCAACTGCAATCTTCTCGCCGACCGCGAATGGCCTGAGCAAGACTCCGCCCGGAGTAGACGTGCCCCACGAACGACCACGTGGTCTGTGGTTCTCGCCCTCCTCTTCTCGTCCACGTATGATGGTACGTTCTGGAAATCGGTGTTTGCAGTGTAGAGATCCCGTGCTTGTAAAGTCGGACGAACGGATGCAGGACAACTACGCGTTGCCGCTGCCTGACTCGACAGCCACAGAGCCATCTGCTGAGTGTATCAGGCTACAGTTCCACTCCATGTGCACAAGTGGAAGCGCATGCTTTCAATCCAAGATGTTGGAGGTGCTCTGAAACCACGACACGAGACACTCCACTACTCGGTCATATGATCGCGTATGAAATGTGTCGGAGGCGCGCGGCGAACACAGTGTATGTATGCTTGTGTATGTATGTTTGTATGCATGCATGTCTGCCTGGTCTCTGTGCGTATGCATGCATGTATGCATGTATATATGTATGTATGTATGTATGTATGCATGCATGCATGCATGTATGTATGTATGTATGTATGTATGTATGTATGTATGCATGTATGTATGTATGTATGTATGTAGGTAGGTAGAGATGCATGTATGTATGCATGCATGCATCTATGCATGTATGTATGTGCGTGAATGTTTGTATGTATATCGTTATATACACAACTATGCCGTATGCTTGTTCCAGCTGTCGAATTAGTACACATCTTGCACGACCCCATAACTGCACGGACACTTGGGCAATGCGCTTCACAGAGTCTCGCAGAAACCGCTCCTCCTTCAACAACAAAACGGGGTGATGAGAGGTCCTCGCTTGCAGCCGAACCTGTGGCCGCGAAACAAATCAACAATAAGTTCTGGTTCGGTGAGCTCACCTGAGCTGCGCAACTGGGCCCTGCCCAGTTCGATGTCCTGCGCAGGGCATCCGGCGACGAGGTAGGCTATCGTGGAAACGCGGGAAGCGGCGCGGGGGTTGAAGCCAACGAATCGACAGAAACCCCAAAGAGGAGCTTGTTCGTGCGCACGCGGGCACACCGCCGCCATGGCTGCGATGCTGGGGGGCGCTGGCGATTGTGCCGTAACTTACTCGTTGCGTGTCAAGTGGCGCCGATTCGCTCGCGCTCAACCGGGCCACCTGAAGAGGAAAAGGAAGTTTACACTCAGAAGAAAACGGAGAAGGGAGAAACATGAGGATGAGGATGCTGATGAGCAGGGGGGATGAGAACGACGACGACGAGGAGGGGGCCTTCACCATCTCGTTGTGCTTAACCACGTCCGTGTGCAAAATGGCGTCGGCGATGAACCTGCGGGCCTCCCGGTAGCCGTCCTCGGCGGCGGAAGCCCTCCCCTGACCGCTCTTCTTGCTGTACATGGCGTACGACTACTTTCCCGCCGGTCCGCTTTCGGGCCGCGGGCCGAAGTCGATCTCGTAAGAAAAACCTACCGGGATGGAGCCAAAAGAAACCAGAGACCCCAGAACTCCAGAAACTCTGAAGTATGGTTGTTGTTTTCCTGTTTTTTCGGTCCCTGGCCCTGGGGTCCGCTTTGGCGCGTTGGGGCCGTCGGCTAAGCCTCTCCAAATGAAATGGCGGGCCTGGGGAAGGGGTCAACAGCCCCGGGTTCCCGTCACGCAACAAATGCGACGGCGGAGAGATAGGATCTCGTGATTCCCTTCCGCCTCCTCCTCCTCTTCCTTCTCCTCCTCCTCCTCCTCCTCCTCCTCATCCTCCTCCTCCTCGTCATTCTCCTCCTCCTCCTCCTTTTTCTCCTCCTCCTCCTCCTCCTCCGCCTTTTTCTCCTCCTCCTCCTTTTTCTCCTTCTCCTTTTTCTCCTCCTCCTCCTCCTCCTGCTGCTCCTCCTCCTCCTGTGTACACAGCTCCCCTCTCAGACTGCGCACAACACGGTGGGGTCCTTTGGGGGACCCAGGTCAGGTGCGACGCCCGTCGGCAGACGACGAAAGCATCATCACAGCGGGAAGGCCAGGATGCCAGATGTGGCGCGAGCGCACCCAGCTTGTCCTCCCCTCCTCGTTCCTCCCCTCCTTCCTCCTCCTCCTCCTCCTCCTCCTCCTCCTCCTCCTCCTCCTCTTTCTCTTCCTCCTCCTCCTCCTCGTCCTCCTGCTCGTGTCTCTCCTGCTCACCCTGCTCCTTTCCCTCTCTCCAGATTTGCGCAGCTTTGTTTGTGCAGCGTAGCTGCGGCCCAGAATATGTGTGTTCAGATCGGCTGCGGTCCAGCATGGAACATAGCACACACGTTCGATCAGCATTCTGGCATTTAGCTTGGCTGTGGGCCAGCACGGAAGCGGACTCAGTCGGTCAACACTTTCACCGCTCAACTGCGCTGCGGGCTAAGTATATATGTTCATGCTCAGCTTGGCCGCGGCAACGCGAGCGTTGGGAGAATTGCCTGCTGCCACGCCTGAGAACTGCGAACGGGGGAGAACTGCACAGCGGCGACGCGAGCAGTGGGCACTGCATTCACCGCTGATTTCCTTGGCGCTGCCGGGACTCGGGTCGTGACTTTTCGCGCGCAGCGGCTGTGCGCCCATACTTCCAACATGCTCTAACATGGCCCCAAGAAGTCGCCCTGGAGCTCGGAACCATGGGGACGCAATGGACCAATATATAATTTCAAACGTGGTTGCCAAGCTGAACTCCAAACAGTGTGCTTGCTATTGCATACTTGATGCGTACTACCTGTGGCGCAATATCTGTGGTGCGGTCTACGTGGCTCCACCTGTGAAAACAAGCTATGCGGTGCAGTGTATGTAGTGCAAGCTACGCGGTGCCATCCATGTTAGATAAGCCACGCGGTGCAATCTATGTGGTTCAAGCTGTGGTGCAATCGATTTGTTTCACGCCATGTGGTGCAACCTATGACATGCAAGCTACGCGGTGCATTGTGCAATGGACCCCGAACAAGAGATAGGGCAACAAGGCACCGAAAGTTTTTGACGCAAGTACGTGTGAGAGACCTGCTGTTTGCTGCTGGTCTTGGGATCCAGCTCTGGGGGGTTGTGCACCCTCACGCCTGGCAAACTCCTGGCTTCAAATGGACTATGCGGTGCAGTGTATGTAGTGCAAGCTACGCGGTGCCATCCATGTTAGATAAGCCACGCGGTGCAATCTATGTGGTTCAAGCTGTGGTGCAATCGATTTGTTTCACGCCATGTGGTGCAACCTATGACATGCAAGCTACGCGGTGCATTGTGCAATGGACCCCGAACAAGAGATAGGGCACCAAGGCACCGAAAGTTTTTGACGCAAGTACGTGTGAGAGACCTGCTGTTTGCTGCTGGTCTTGGGATCCAGCTCTGGGGGGTTGTGCACCCTCACGCCTGGCAAACTCCTGGCTTCAAATGGACTGCGGAAGATGACAACAATGATATTCCACCCACCTGCCCCAACCTAGCTCCGAATGCGTTGGCGAGCATGTGCGCCAATGTCGGTAAGCATCTGGTGTTCGAGACCCTGATTTGCGGCACCCACACTAGCGAGCTCATCAAGATCGATCGGAACATTTCATCCTGGAGCAAGGACGCGATAGCTTTCGGAAGTGCGTCCTCCAGCGCAGGATGGGAAAGAAGCTTGCGCCACCATGACAGACGGACCCGCGTGGGGTGGGCACTCGACCAGAAAAGGGGGAACCGAGAGGGTCGTGTTTTTTTCGAATGCTGGCCGGTTTTCCCAACGACGGGGCCGGATGCTGATGCACATTTCGGGCCACCCGACGCCTCCTCTGCCGATTGAAGGGGCCCTGGGACACACAAATAAATACACACAAATAAAAATATTCTCCATATTTTCCCATATTTTTTGGGTTTCTGTCTTCCCCCCCACTTCCCATATTTTCATATGGGGAATCGAGGATTAATTGTGTCTGTGTGTTTCTTTTCCTCCTGATGCGGACATCCATGCAACATGCACGCGATTGTGAGTTGAAGTACTGTAGCCACTTGGGGCTTAAGAACATGCCATCCATCCATATCAGCATGGTAGCGCGGAGCGTGGTTCCCTGACCGCAGAGTCTGCCCGCATCGGCCATGGAGGAGGCTCTCAGGGCGATGGAGGCCAGGCTGACGGCGGCGGAGCAGCAGATTGCAAACAGGACGGCCGAGCTCACTGAGGCCAGGAGGGTCATCGACCAGATGAGCACCGCGGGCCCCGCTGCAGCAGGAGCCGCAGCCGCTCCTCAGCAGCCCAGCCGCGGCGAGAGCTCCCTCGTGGACACGAGGGCGCTGGGCAAGCCGCCGCTGTTCTCGGGTGACCTGACGGCGGACGGCAAGCCAGAAGGAGGTCTAGCGTGGCCGCAGTGGTCATTCACATTCAGGGCATACGCTGGCGCGTTCGACCCGACGTGCAGGGACGCGCTGGAGTATGCAGCCAACAAGGTCGACGACGAGCAGCAGATCAGCAACGTGATGATGGATGTGAACGACAAGAAGCTCTCGTCGCAGATCTACTACGTGCTGGCACTCACGTGTCGTGGGCGAGCACTATCTGTGGTGCAACGAGTCCCAGAGGGCTGGGGGGTCGAGGCTTGGAGGCAGCTGTGCCGCGAGTTCGAGCCCAGGCTGCCGAGCCGCTTCCAGGGCATGCTACAGAGGCTGCTCGACCCCGTGCGAGGCCCCGACATGTTGGAGAGTATCTACACCTGGGAGCGCCAGCTGAAGGCCTATGAGGAGCAGTCTGGTGACCAGATGGCTGACTCAATCAAGCTGGCGACTTTGACCAACAAGCTCTTGGATGGGCCCCTGAAGACCCACGTCAACCTCCAGGTAGGCCGCTTGCAGACGTACGAAGCCGCGAAGGCCGAGGTGATCTCATACCTTCGCGCGACGGCCAGCCAGGAGGAGGAGCCAGTACCCATGGAGCTGAACCCTGTGACTGGAGAGCTGTGCCCTATGACACGGGGCAAGGCCGGCAAGGGCAAAGGCAAGGACAAGAGCGGCAAGGGAAAGAACCACGACGGAAAGGGTAAGAGCAAGAAGGTCTGTTTCTACTGCGCCAAGCCGAACCACACGAAGCAGGAGTGCAGGATCTTAGCGAAGGACCGAGCGAGCAAGGACATCAAGCCAGACAAGTCGGGACGCTACGCAGGCAAGCCAGTCGACAAGATCACAGGCAAGCGCCTCGAGAGCGAGAATGGCGACACAGCGGCGGTGACGGCCCTGTCCGACGATGACTACTACTACGACGAGCAGGATGGCTTCGTGTTCGCGCTGATGGAGGGCGAGAACTCCAACGAGATCGAGACGGGTTACTGCTGCGCCCTCGAGGGCGCCGACTTCGACCTGCTCTTTGACACGTGTGCTGCAAGGAGCGTCTGCCCACCTTCGTGGGCGCCTGAGGTGGCCATCAAGGAGTGCCGTGGGACGGTACTCTACCAGGCCGACGGCAACGAGCTCAAGCACTACGGGAAGAAGGAGGTGAGCATGACGGACCAGAACTCTGGCGAGCCATTGACGGTGAAGTTCGAGGCCAAAGGGGTGCGCAAGCCGATCATGGCGGCGAGTTCTGCAGTTGACGCGGGCTACGGTGTGTGGCTGTACGACGGAGGCAGCTACATCGTGAAGCCCGAGCAGGCGAAGGACTTGGCGAGCCACGTGAAGGACAACATCGGCAAAGGCAAGTCCATCGAGCTGAAGCGGAAGAACGGCATCTTCGTCATCCGAGCTCGTCGGTGCTCGACTGGCGAGCTGTGCCCGACGACGGAGAAGAGCGACGAGCCGAAGGATGTTGGCGGACGGCCCAAGGTGGAGCTCGAGGACAGCGAGGAGGCCAGGAGCGCGACCACCAAGAAGGTAGCGGTCTGGCCGAGCGCAGACGAGAGGGCGAAGCACGAGGTCACTCACTGTCCATTCCGTGCCTGGTGCAGGTACTGCTTGACGGGCCAGGCGACCGAGGATCAGCACAGGAGCCAGGAGTCCGCCTCGACCGTCGCGAAGCTCGCGCTGGACTACTGCTTCCTAGCGCGGGAGGGCGAGCTGCAGAAGGCGACGATACTGGTCATCGTGCTGAGGCATCCAGGTGCTGTTGGAGCCACGCAGGTGCCGAAGAAGGGAGTTGACGACGTTGCAGTGGAGTTCGTACTCTTCCACCTCGAGGCATGGGGTGTTGGAGAAGTCGTCCTGCGGGCGGACCAGGAGCCCGCCATCCAAGCACTTCTAGGCGAGCTACGCCGACGTCGGGTGGAGCATCACCGCACGACAGTCGAGAAGTCCACGAAGCACGACAGCAAGGCGAACGGCATGATCGAGGCTGTGGTGCGCAGAGTGGAGTCACTCACCCGCACGTACGTGGCCGTCATCGAGGAGAAGTTCAAGACCAAGGTGACGAGTCAGTCGGTGATCCTGCCGTGGCTGGTCAGGCATGCGGCCTACGTCCTCACGAGGTTCGCCACGAAGAGCGATGGCAGGAGCGCTTGGGCGACGATCAAGGGCAAGGAGTTCGCGTCGCCCCTGGCGTGTGTGGGCGAGACTGTGGACTTCAAGCTGATCCGCAAGGACCAGTCGAAGCTCGACCCTCGCTGGGCCACAGGAGTGTTCCTCGGGCGGAGGGACGAGAGTGATGAGGTCATCGTGGGCACGGCGCGAGGGATCGAGTTCAGCAGGACGTTCAAGAGGCGTGACGACAGCGAGCGGTGGGTCCAGGAGGAGTTCAGGACGTTCATCGGTGTGCCCTGGAACCCGAGAGCGCCTACGACGGAGACACCGGTGGTGAGTACGAGGAGGAGATACATCACGCGTGCCCTGATCCAGGAGCACGGCGAGAGCCCAGATTGCCCAGCTTGCCTGGGGCTGTCCAGCGTGCACACGGTGGCGTGCAGGGCTCGGTTCGAGGAGATCTTCAAGGCGCAGGCTGAGCAGGCGATCCAGCTGCAGCCAGCTGTGGGTGCCGCAGGCGCCGAGGCTGCGAGGCCAGTACCACAACAGGCAGCTCCAGCACCGCAGCAGGAGATAAGTCCACCTCCAGGACTACAACTGCCAGCAGCTGCAGCACCGAAGAGAGAGAGAGAGAGAGATGCCGAAGCAGCCGAACCAGCAAGAAAGAGGCCAGTGATCGAGGTGGTTCCCACTGCGCCCATGGACACCGACCCAGTCAGTGAACCCATGACTCTAGGAGCCCTCTGCGAGGAGGAGGTCCCACCTCCAACCTTCGACGGGGAGCTGTTCGCGGGGAGCTTCCACGACCAGTTCACGGGCGAGGTGCTGCCGAAGGAGCTGGTGCTGCAGGGCGTGAAGCGCGAGCTCGACGAGATGGACGAGTTCGAGGTGATGGTCTGGAAGAAGCGCAGCGAGAAGCCAGCTGGTGAGAGGGTGATCTCCACCAAGCTCTTCCACACCAGGAAGGGTCCAGACTGTGTGCGATCGCGGATCGTCGCGCGCGACTTCGCAGGAGGCGTCTTTGCACCAGAGCACTACGCGGGGACACCACCGACATGGGCGCTGAAGCTGGTGATCTCGAGGTTGGCGTCGAGAGGCAGCTCGAGGCAGCTCGCAGCCCACGACATCTCGGTGGCCTTCTTCCACGCTGAGCTGAAGGAGCCCGTGTGGGCCGAGCCTCCGAAGGAGCTGAACTGCCCCGACTGGCTCTGGCTGGTGAGTAAGGCGCTGTACGGGATGCGTGAGTCGAGCGCTGACTTCCAGCAGCTGGTGCGTGACACGTACCGAGAGCATGGCTGGAACATCTTGTCGACGGTCCCCTGCTTGGCGTACCACAGCGAGTGGGACTGCCTGTCAGGCTTCCACGGGGATGACTTCTACACCGAGGGCGAGCCGCACGAGCTGGACAAGGTGGACGCAATGATCACGGGCAGCTTCAAGGCCAAGATCCTCCCGAGAGTTGGTCCAGCCGCTGAAGAGCAAGGCCTGGTTCTACGACGGCTTCTACTTTGGAGCGCGAAGGGGTTCATGCTGCTGCCTGACCCGAAGCACTTCGAGAACCTGAGCACGTTGCTGGACCTGAAGAACGTGAAGCCTTCCCCGACGCCTGTCAGCCGAGCGACTGGCAAGAACGCGAGGGATGCTCTGGAGGAGCTGAAGCGGGCCGAGAAGGCGATCTACTGCAGGGGCACGGGCATCTGCATGTACATCGGCCCAGACCGCTTCGACATCCAGTTCGCCACCAAGCAGCTGGCGTCGGATATGGCACATCCGACGCGCCTGAGCATGATGCGACTCAGGAGGTTGGCACGCTACCTCGCGGGGACGCATGACGTCGGGATCGAGTTCCTCTACCAGGAGAAGTGGACGGATGTGGTGGTCTACTCCGACGGCGACTGGAGCGGCGACGTACAGACATGCAAGAGCACGTCGGCGGGGACCATCCAGGTCGGAGATCCTGGCGCTGGTCATCTCATCGAGAGCTGGAGCATCACGCAGGGCGCTGTTGCACTCAGCAGCGCAGAGTCGGAGTTCTACGCCATCGGCTCAGCGGCAGCGCGCGGCATCACGGTCAAGCAGGTGATGCTCGAGATCGCTGAGCTTGGAGCTGGTGTTCCAGCAGACGTGAGGCTGATCATTCGCACGGACTCAGACGCGGCCCGTGGGATGATCCACAGAGTGGGCTGCGGGCGTGTACGGCATCTACAGACCAGGTACCTTTGGCACCAGCAGGCGCTGAGGGAGAAGCAGTTCGAGGTTGAGAGAGTGGACGGCAAGAAGAACCCGAGTGATGCAGGCACGAAGCCGCTGGAGCAGGAGGCGCTGCAGACCTGCATGAGGAACCTCGGGATCGTGAGCAGGAAGATCGCTGGCTTCGGGACGGACGAGGCCAGCCAGGTGTTGGCGACGCTGCTGCTGTTCGCAGCGGCGCAGACCGCCGACGGGACGGTCGTGGAGCCCACCTGCTCGGCAGGCGGGAGCGAGTCACAGGGCGGTGGCATGCAGTTCACCGCGTTCATGATGGTCATCCTGACCCTCATTGGGATTGTGACGGGCGTGCTCATCGAGAGGCACGTGCTGAAGGAGCGCCGTGAGGAGCGCCGTGAGGTGACCGTATGCCTTCGAGACACAGGCGTGCAGGTGGAGCCAGCACCCAAGCGCTGCGAGGACAAGGGCAGTCAGGGCCCTTGCACGTATGCGAGGCATCGTTCTCAGCCTCGGTTCGTACCCCTGCCAGAAGTGTCGTGGGGTTGAGAGGGTCCCGCAGGCGACGAAGGTAGCTGGCGCGAGGCTGTAGGCCACAGCCCGCTTTAGTGACAGCTGCAGGCAGCAACAGAGGCAAAGACCGGTATAACGCGTTTGGTTTTAATGTGCTCTGGCGGAGCGTATCCAGAGCACACTTTTCGCTTCAGCGTCGATCGGACTGATCACCCGATGATGCGCTGGAGCCACGAGTTCGAGCTACGGACGAGTGCAAGTTGCTAAGGCCAGCTTGCACCCTCGAGGGTGCCGCGCTGAGGAGGCGTGCGGACATCCATGCAACATGCACGCGATTGTGAGTTGAAGTACTGTAGCCACTTGGGGCTTAAGAACATGCCATCCATCCATATCAGCACCTGACCGATTCTTATCGGCTTCGAGCGCAACACCAGCGGCAGCTGGCACCTCCCCGGGCAAAAAGTGCGAGGTCGGCGACCTCCCCGCCGTGAGGGAGGCGCGTCCCCGGACCCCGGGATGTCCAGAGTCCGTCTGGATAGTGAAGCGGATGCACACAACAAATTCGAAGACACCTCCTCCTCCCTCCTCCTCCTCCTCCTCCTCCTCCTCCTCCTCCTCCTCCTCCTCCCTCCTCCTCCCTCCTCCTCCTCCTCCTCCTCCTCCTCCTCCTCCTCCTCCTCCTCCTCCTCCTCCTTGTCTCGATAATTGGATGTCTAAGAAAATTGGCAGGGAAGTTCGAAGACAATAGTCTTTCCAGAGTCTGTCTGGAGAATGGGTTTCTCAGAAAAAATCAAAGACTCCCCTCGATCAAGCTCCTCAGGATGGCATGCGCCAAACAAGAACAACAGATGTCAGCTCGTCGATGGAGCCGGACGTGTGGAATGCCTGGGCGTCCACGGTGCAAATCAGGTCCGAAGCTTCCACGCTCACAATCTTTAGCCTGCCTACTCCTGCTTTCGTGTCTGTCACGATGTGGGGGAACTCCCTAAGACGACGTTGCACATGGCCTGTTAACCACTTGGTAAACCCACAAAAGGCGTAGTGACCTACGGTATGATTGTTTCGAAAAACGATTGTTCCCTGTGGCTTGAGTGTTTTTGCAAATCTTGATAGATCTTGCTCGGACACTGCGTCCAGCATAATAAAAAGATCAGATAACATCCCTTGCGATTGGTGCGCCTTCCCAGTTTTCAGTGTCATGTGCTAGCCTGCAAAATGATTTCGCGACGGTGTCAAACTTGACGTTGTGCTGTGACACCTCATCGTATTCAAGCTCGTCGGGAATACAAGCGTCGATGGCTCCATCACCCTCGATCGTCGGCAACATGTATCGGGCATCCTTGTCATTATATGCACCGTGTGGCTTGACGATTTGAGCCAACGAGCGGCTCGGCGAACTAAAGGGAACATGTTGCCCGATCAGCTGTGCCCCCAGACTCGCCTGATTTGCTTCTCGTATGCTCCCAGCACCCTGGCTTTGAAAGATTTCAGCCAGAAGCTGGTGCCAGGATCGACGATGTTCGTGCATGCGGGCATCCCCCAACCTTTGGGGTAGTAGCTGAGAAGCCTGCAGTATTGCCACCTTCTGTGCCCTTGGGTGTTCCTCTGGATTTCCCTTTTGGGTCCCTGGTGCCATTGACGCGAGGCTTCAGCGCAACTTTGGGCTTGGCTTTGGTCCCCAAGACTGCCACTGGGGATTTGTCGTTTTTTTTTTTGTGTTGGCACATTCCTTGGCGACCGCATCGACGGTCTCGGAAAACCTGCGCGGCTGTGGGCGGGTGGTCGTCGAAGTCCACGTCCTCGGCCTGAACGGGGATGCCGCCCAGCTCCTGCAACTGGACCTTCATTTCATTTTCATAGCCAACGGTTTGTCGAACATCTCCTCGGGTTTGGTTTTGGCTGCTTTCTCGTCTAGCTCCTTCCGCCTCTTAGCCCCCTTCTCCTCGCTTGCCTTTCTGTGCTTGTCTCTTGCAGCTTCGTGGTCTGCGATCTTTGCCCTTAGCTTATCGCACACGGCGTCGACAGGCTCGGGGCCGACCGTGCGGAAATCTACTCTGTCCAAGCCGAGCTCCGAAACCTTGGCGCTCGTGCACGCTGGGATAGTTTCCAGAAAAGCCTCGTGGAATGTCTGCGTCGTGGTCACGAATTTGAGCTCCCCCAACGTCTCGTCGAGGCCCTCGAACATGCACACGTTCAAGGAGTTGCTGCATTCGTGGTGCATCCCCTTCATCGCTTCGCGCCTTCGGCTGCCTTGCTTAAGAACGATCGTTAGCGTCTGGTTCCCCCCTGTGCAGGCGGACAATGGCTCATCTAGCTCCGACTGCGCGGCCGCTGTTTTGAAAGCCCTCGTGCCCGCTGGGTATGTACAGTCATCCTCGTTCTTCAACACCTCAAAGTCGCGTCGCGCCTTTTCAGCAGCAAGTCGAGTCGTCGCCATGTTCATCACCAGTTTCTCTAATTGTTTCAGCCTTCTTCTCGAGGTCTTTGTTGATCCTTTCTGGGATCTCCTTCTGGGATCTTCTGCGCCCACGAGGCACCCGCCTGCGCCATCGTGAAACCCCGGCGGACCCAGCCAGCGCACGGGGCGCCCACGAGGCGCTCGTTGGCGCCCAACGGGCGAAACCTCCAATCAGCGTACGAAGCGCCCACGTGGCGCCCACGGGCACCCACTGGGCGAAAATCCGGCGGACCCATCCCATGACGCTTCGCGGGAGAACCAGGAACCGCCCCCACCCTGGTTTGCCAATCGGGTGGTCTGCGCTCCTCCTGGGGGGCACCCGGTAGCAATTCTGCAGCCCCTCAACCGACTGGCAAGACCTCCAAGACGGCGCGCGCCAATGGGCGAGTTTATCTCCATGAGCCCGAAAGGCAATGACCGAAACTGCGAACTTCGTAGCGATGGGGCGCCACGACAGAGCAAATGAACAACCCAACGAGCATGGGTGACACAAACCGCTCGTTTCGTAAACGCCACGGGTGGTTTAGTGAACCGAAAAAAAGGGCGCGCTTTTGCAATGCATCGCCCGAGCGGGGGAGCGAGACGAATTCAATAAAACGCTCGGGAGTTCACTAAATTCAAGACCTGGCTTCCAGGCCATCGGGCTTTGCAAACCAAGGGCCCGATTCGGTGAAACAACTGCCCATATTCACGGGCATGCAAGCGCGTTCCGCCGCTGCGGCTTTACTTGCTGCGACACCTGGCGCTGAGGGTAGGGCCCCAGGAAGGGCAAACTGTTTCCCGATGCGTGCCTGGGCAGCAAGCCCTGCGTGTGGAAACCAACGCTCGCTCTGCGAGATCGGAGTCCGTGGGATGCCGCCTTGTAAACCAAGGTAGGGGCGTATTTGGGACTGACTTTCGAGGCTAGTGAGAAACCCTCGTTACGAGCACTGCTAACGCGAACTTGTTGTACAGTTTCGCATACGCGACTTCGGTTCCCGAAACTCCACAGCGGGCCAAGATTCAGAAGCCCGAAATACAGATAGGCCCAAGAAGATCCTGAGAATCCACCACAGGCCACCAAAAAATACTCAGGAAACTCCCAATACGTCTCCAAAAGGTTTCCGCTTCCGCCACGTCCTTGTCCAAAGCCTTGAGCACATTGGCGTCGTCACTGCCCAGGATCTGGAACAGCCGCGAGCAGTGCAAATTCTCCAATGGCGACCTGCGCGCGCGTCTCACCGCGTCGCCCTTCCTCGTACGAACTTTTTGTAAAGACAGACCATCCGTCAACCAGCACCTCTTTATAAGAACCGAGTTTTGAAAGCTGATATGCCTTCGACTAACAAGTATTGGTTTCAAGGCTGACCCACCTTCAACTAATTACCCTGGCGAAGGACCCAAACATATGCAGTTGTGGGTACCGGCGTCGTGAAAAACGCCTTCGGTGGAGCTCGCTACGCGGCCACGAAACGCGTGAAAGGAGAGCCGAAATGGGGCGGGACCGCCATGCGTGCGCTGCCGCTGGGGCCGCCCGCAAGAAGCGCAGACGTCCGACGAAACGGGTTACATGCTGATGTAACACGTTGCAGCTAACAAGCACCGGGAGAAGCGGGAGAACACATGCGGGCACAGCATGCGAACGCAGCCACTGGGGCCTTAGGTGGAGCTCCGTCTGGGGCCACAAAACGTGTGAGGGGTGTGCCCAATTGAGGGGGGTGGCGGCATGCGAGCGCAGCCACTGGCGCCTTCTGTGGAGCTCCCGATGGGGCCACGAAACGTGTGAGGGGTGTGCCCAAGCGAGGGGGTGGCGGCATGCGAACGCAGCCACTGGAGCCTTCGCGGTGTGCCTCCCTCTGGGCCAGGGGTGTGCCCAAGTGAGGGGTGTGGCGGCATGCGAACGCAGCCACTGGGGCCTTAGGTGTACCTCCCGATGGGTCCACGAAACGTGTGAGGGATGTGCCCAAGTGAGGGGGGTGGCACCATGCGAGCGCAGCCACTGAGGCTTTACATGTAGCTCCCGATGGGGCCACGAAACGTGTGAGGGGTGTGCCCAAGCGAGGGGGTGGCGGCATGCGAACGCAGCCACTGGCGCCTCAGGTGTAGCTCCATATGGGGCCACAAAACCAAAACAGGTGAGTTGCCAAATGAGGGGGGCGGCGGCATACGAACGCAGCCACTGGGGCCACGGAACGTGTGAGGAGTGTGCCAAAGTGAGGGGGGTGACGGGAGGAGGAAGGACCGGGAGGAGGAGAAGAGGAGAAGGAGACGCCGGGACTGTCTCTTCAAAACGAGGACCCAACCCAACACCACAGGATGGTTGAGAGCAACACTTGCAGAGTAATCTTCCTTACGTGCGTCCCACCTCCTCCTCTCTGGTCGCGGTCGTACGAGCCGTTTCTGCGAGGCAGCCGCGCACGGTCTACCCCGAGTCGCAATCGAACGGCGCCAAGGCCAGCCGTGCTGCGATCGAGGGAACAAACAATGACGTAAACATCAAGCATCGGAGGTCCGCGCGGATTTCTCGGATTCGGCGGTGGACAAACCTCCCTTTAGCAAACCTCCCCTTGGTGAAAACGGCCTGGGGCCGAAACCGACGGACCCGCACCCGCAAAAACGACGGCCGTGACGCCCTCTCGCGAACCGAAAACGGCCAATTCGCTAACCAACGTGTCAGGGCAGGAGGTCTGTCCACCCGGATTGGCGCTGGACCCCGCTCCCTGGCGCGCTGAGCGCGCCATGGGCGGCGCCCGAGGCGCCGCCGAGAGGGGCCCCGACGTCGATCCCAGGAATCCGCGTGGGCCTCCGAGTTGTTCTGTCGGCCACCGGCCGCATGGCTCGCAGCGGTCGTGCGACGGAGGGCCACTCCAGAAACGAGTTGGGGCACTACTGCGCCAGACCCCTGGTGATTTTCGGGTCGTAACTCGGGCCTCCGGAGCAGTCCGGGACGATCTGCGACCCCCCCCGCACGCTCTCGGCGAGGCGCAGCCGTTGAAGGCATCCCGAAGCTGGGAAGCCGCAGAGAGCCGACGAAAACGCCCGAAAACTTCGACGACCTTCAACCTCAAACCTCGGACCTCGCCGGTCGCCCCAGTGACGGCGCAGACGAGAATGTGGGAGGGAGGGAGGGAGGAGTAGGGAGGGAGGGAGGAGAAGGAGAAGGAATGGAGGGCGGGAAGAGAAGGGAGGGCGAAGCGAGGAGGAGGAGGAGGAGGAGGAGGAGGAGGAGGAGGAGGGGAGGAGGAAGGAGGAGGAGGAGGAGGAGAGGGAGGAGGAGGAGGGGAGGAGGAAGGAGGAGGGGAAAGAGGAGGCGAAGCGAATGTGGCGTACGGGACGCCCCATGGCGCGCCGCACGCTCAGTGCCTCGAGCGGGGCTGCCCACGCGCGCCGAGCGCCGAGCGCGGGAAGGGGCGGCCCCCGCAGCTGGCGAGGTGGCCTCTCCGAGTGTCGGTGCCGGCAACGACGGCGCTCCCTCGTGGGGAAGCCTTGAGAGCGCGGAGGTCCGCGCGGACTCCTGGGATCGGCGTTGGGGCCACCTGGCGGCGTGCTCCGCGCGCCAAGGAGGAGGGTCGAGCGCCGATCCGAGGAACCCGCGCGGTTCTCCGAATGTGTGTGTGTGTGTGCTTAGGTCATCGTTTGCTCCCCGATCCGCTCCCCCTCCTCCCGCTCCTCCTCCTCCTCCTCCTCCTCCTCCTCGCTCCTGCAATCATTAAACATTGACGCCTCACACGCAGGCGCCTCCATATTCCCTGTTTACGACGTGCATAGCGACGCAAAAATATGCCTCCGCGACGAACGCGTGCCCGACCGAAAACCGACCGGCGACCCAGCCCAACTGGGCCGCCTCGGCGGCGCGCAACGCCGCCGCGCGGCGGGCACGGTCCGCACCCAGGGCGGTCTGGAGCTGCCGCGCTGTGGCCCGGTGGAAGGCCACGCTCAACTCCCAGCCCCGCAAGGGCACCAGCTCTCTGCCCAAGGCCTCCACCGCGGCCTCGTCGGCGCGGCCCGCTCCCAGGCGAAGCTGCGCAGGTGCCGAAGGTCGCCTGGCCGCGGCGGCCGGCGGTTTCCAGCGCGAGGGGCACCGTGCGCCACGGCGCCTGCGCCCACGGCGCCTGCGCACCCGTAAGGCGGGGGTGCTTGTCAGCTTCGGCCACGGTGCGGACGGCCCCGTCGCGGCCGCCACCGCGCGCCCTCTCCAGGCCCCCGCCTCGCGGGCCGCGCCGGGCGGGGCGCGCCTTGAGGCCGAGCGCCTCGCCGCAGCGCGTGCGCTCGTGCGGGTGCGGCTGCCGCTGGTGGCCCCGGGCGGCGCGGCGCCCTGTCCGAGGAAGGCTCGGGCCGTGGCCCGGCACAGCCGGAGCCAGGCCAGGATAACAGCCCTCAAGAGCATGAGACCCTCTGCCGGCCAAGCCGAAGAAGCTTCGAGGGCACCCTGCCCCAGGGTGCACCCGCACATCCAGCAAGCACGAAGAACATCAGGCCACCCTCCCCGAACCAACCTCGATCTCACAACCTCGGTCCGGCCGTCATCCGCGGCGTCCAGTCGCTCGCGGGCCTGCCCAGGCGAGGCAGTCTGGCACCCCACCCGGCGGCGTGCGGCCCGCCGCAGGAGCGCAGGCGCGCCCTCTCCTCCAGCTCCAAGGCCCTCTGCAGAGAACCGTGGCCTATGTGCCCACTGCTTCCCGGCAGGCCCAACCTCGGCGGCGAGCCCAGGGGGAGGCGAGAAGGAGAAGGCCTTCTCAGAGGGCTCGGAGGCCCCTGGGCCTTCTGAGAAGTCTTCGGCGCCTTCCCCGAAGATGCCGAACACTTCTGGAAGGTCAGAGGGCGTCCGAGCAGCCCCGCCGCCTTCTGAGAGGGTCTCACTTCCCCCCCTCGCTCGCCACCGACTCAGTCCCTCCTGGCAGCCCAGGCGGGGAGAGGGTGGGCGGCCTGGCCAGGGTGCCTCGCACCCCCCCAGCCTCTGGCCCTGCCCGCTCCTGGGTGCCCTCCTTCCCCCCCCCTTGTCCGCCCCCTGGAAGCAGCGCCCCTCTAACGGGGACTCCACCAACGGGTACTTTGGCCAGTGACCCGGCGAATCTAATCCTCCTCGATGTAGGCAACGCTGCAATGCCAGAACGAGGCCTTAAAGTGGCAACTTCCAGCAAATCTCTCAAGTACCTGTTAGCGAGTAACCGTTACGGTGCCGCTGACTGGAGTCCGGGCCAAGCATGCCCGGTCCATGGCATTGCGCACCTCACGCATGAAGCGGATGGCCTACTAGCGGCACGCGCCGCCGACACACACAACGACTGGACCTTCTGCGCTGACGCCGTTGTATCAAAGCCATGGTCGGCCCCCAGCCATCGCGAAACTTGGAACTCCTTCTAAACACGCATGCTAGCTATGGCGGTTGCCAACTGCGAGAATCCTATAGTCCGCAACGATAAGGCATTCCGGCTCAGCGCTGGATGCCGAGAGAGGCGGGGCGCCTGGCCTATCGTTGTACGTCACCGCCAATTCGTGCTGTGTCTCAATCAGGAACTGGTTATCCACTCCTGCTGGCCAAGGAGGCGTAGGGGGGAGCAGGTGCCATGGGTGGAGGGATGGCGGCGAGGAGATGGGAGAGGACGGGGAAGCGGACAATGAGAACTGTCTTATGTAGGATGCGGCGCCGCTGGTTTTCTGCAGACGAGCCCCCGCCCTCCCCCCTACTTTGGTCCGCCATCACGGCGTTCCCGCCCCCCACCCCCTCTCCCTCCCTTCCTGCGCTCCCGAAAGGTTTATGTCACCACCCCGCGCCCATCCCCATTCGGCTGAGGAAAAACTCGGGACGATCCAACCGTCTCGTTCGGTAATTACTCATACGAGTACCTTAACACGGTGGCTTCAAGCCCGAGGCGTCTACAACGTAACCCTAACCACAGATCCCCATCGGACCTCGGACCTGCAGCTGTCGCCAGCAAGGGCATCGCAGGTTGGAGCCGTAACACCGAAACACGAGGCATGTGAACAGCTTGGGAGCATGTCAACAAATACATGGCATACGTCAGGGCGACTCCTGCGTACCCCCCCCCGGGGGGAGCACCCCTCCCTGGGAGAAGCTTTCGGCTCTGGAGCGCCGTCGTCGCCGTCGTCGCCGTCGCCGGTCGTCGCCCAGTCGTCGTCGTCGTCGTCGTCGTCGTCGTCGTCGTCCTACGTGCCCCAGGTCGAGGCCGAGCGCGGCCAGCAGCAGCCAGAACTGCTGGGTGCCCACCTGGGGCGGGCGGGGCATCCCCACGCGCCAAGGAACATCGCCGCGGCGTCCCCGACAGAGATGCTCCCCCCTCTGGGACGGAGCCAGGTCTTGGACAAAAGCGGACCAGGAGGAATCGGGGCTCTCTGAGGTCTGGCGGATCTAAAAACGGCACAAACGTAAACTTTCGACGCTCCGCGCGGATTTCTTGCATCTGCGCTGGAGCCCCCACCCTGGCGCGCTTCGCGCGCAAGGGGCGGCGCTGGAGGCGCCGCCAAAAAGGCCCAGCGCAAATCTAAGAAATCCGCGCGGAAATCCGACAATTTATGTTGATGCCGTTTTCTTCTTCGAATTCTGCAGCAGGGCCGGACCTAAACGTAGTGCTTTTCGTTTTGCGTTCGTTATGTTTTTCGTTCTGTTCTACCTGCTTTCCTGTACCTCCCCGTCAAAACGGAAAACAAAACACAGCCGAAGTCCAGCAAAACAACGTTTAGGTTTAGGTCGGGCCTGTCCCCCTACAGGCGGATTTGTGGGCTACAAATTCAAAACATTCAAAACAGACCCCCAAATTTAGCCGTCGAGTGCTACAAAAATCCGTTCCCAGACTACTTGTTCACTATTTTTGCCTGAATATTCCTGCTGCAGAAGGACATGCACCACTCGAGTTTAGGTCCAGCCCTGTTCTGGAGGATGCGTCGGGCGCCACGGCCGCCCCAGGGCGTCCCAACACGCTCTGGAGCGATGTCCACCTCGGCCCCCGGCCCTGCCGAGAAGAGGCCCGTGCCCGCCCCCTCCTCCTCCCCCCTTCGCCGAGCGTTGTTTTTTGTTTTTATTTCGTTTTGTGTTTTCGTTTTGCTCTACCTGTTGTCCTTTACCTTCCTGCAAAAACGGAAAGCAAGACACAGCCGAAGTCCAGCAAAACAACGTTTAGGTCCAGCCCTGACGTGGGATCCCCACCGGGCGCTGGTGCGGCAGGGATTCCCTTTCATCGGGATGCCTCCCAAGTGTGCTATCGCCGAGCTGCCGCCTCCGTGCTTGCAGCTGAAGAATTTTCTGGTTCAGAAAGGCTTCGGAATCAGTCGGGCGAGTTTACGTCTGGTTCGACTGGGCGACCTAGGGAGCGCTCTGGTCAGAAGCGCAGTTCAAGGCTGCCACCGCCAACTGACAAATCGGTGGCCCGGTGCGCTTCCTATCCGGTGCAATGGGCCGAGTAACGGAGCAAGCGACGATGAGAGGAGGGAATATGCTTGGTAATGTACTTGCCAAGCCCTGCCGTGGGCGGGTTTCCCAGAGACGCCTCTTCGAATCTGGTTGGGAAGGTTGAAGGAGCCCTAGGACACACAAGGTCATACACACAAATTCGCCGGCCCAACGGGCCAGGGCGTGCCAAGATCTCCGGTACCTGGTTAACAGTATTTCTAGTTCGCGCGCGCGGGGCGGCCCCTGGGGGTCCCCGGGCGAAAAGTACCCCGGCAAGGTCCCGGCAAGTCCCCGGCAAGTCCCCGGCAAGTGCGGGTCAGAGATGCCGGAGTTCTGTTTCGGAGCCCAAGAGGGCTCCAGATCGGTCCAAGAGGGCCCCGAGAAGCTTTCTAGACGGTCCAAGAGAGGCCCGAGACGGCCAAAGATCGCCCGAAGACGCCCCAGATGGCCCCAAGACAGCCCAAGAGGCCTCCAAGACGCTCCAAGGGCCTTCCAGGAGGCCTCCGAAGAGGGCCCCAAGTCGCCAAAATCGTTGGTTTTCATTGGTTTTTTCGATGTTTTTTGCGTTCTAGCTTTTTTGGCTTCCGGACGCTCCAAGACGGCCCAAGAGGCCTTCAAGACTGCTCCAAGACGGCCCACGAGGCTCCCAAGACGGCCCCGGAGCGGCCCAAGAGCGCCCCCAAGGCGGCCCAAGTGCCGCCCAAGGCGGACCAAGAGGCCCCAAGACGGGCCCAGCAGGGGCTCAAGAAGGGAACCGAGAACTGAAAAATCGAGCCCTCCGCCCGAGAAGGCGCCCAGGACCCCGAAATAGGCCCCAAGAGACTCTCCAAGACACCCCCAAGACGCCCCAATAAGCTCCCGTGAGGCCCCAAGAGGACCAACAACGTCAGGCCCCAGGCCCCAAGAGGACCAACAAATATCGCCAAGAGCCCGCCGAAAGCCCCCCAAGAGACCGTCATGAGAGCTCAGGAGGCCCCCTGGAGGCCTCCCGAGTTCTCCAAGAGGCCTAAAAAGAGGCGCCAAGAGGCCCCAAACAGCCCCACCGAGGCTCCAAGAGGCCACGAACGCGCAAGCAAACGCCTGCGATGGCACAATACGGGCCGGCGGAATGAGCGAAGCGATTAAATAAACAGATTCCCAATATTTTCCAATATTTTTGGAGGTTTTGTCTTCCCCCCCACTTCCCATATTTCCTGGGGAATCGACGATTAATTGTGTCTGTGTGTTTCTTTCCCTCCTGAAAGGTGGCGACAGAAACCGCCCGACGCCAGCGAAGGTTCGGCGAGTCGCTGCTGCCAGCAGCGCGGGCGCTGCGCCCATGCAGGCCGCGCCCACGAAGTCCACGCCACTGCAGGCCCTCACCCAGCAGTGGTCTCCAGCAATTATGCTTGCTACGTCTGTCCGTTCCACTGGCACCCCGTATGTGGGGTCCCTCGGTAGCGTAATTCGATGTTCCCCGACCCCGCCCCCCCCACTGGAAGTGGAGGGCAAATCGGGGCCTTCCTGTTGGGTTGGGGTGCTTTGGTGGGCGGTGGCCATCTACTTCGACCCCATATGGGTGGCCTCGACGAAGGCAGCTGCAGGCCAGGACGCCTCCTGGGGCAGCCCGCAGCCACCTGCAAGCAGGCGCCCCCAGAGTCCAATCGACAAGTCGGATCGGCGATCGAAATGAATGTTGATCGGCGGACATCGGCAGCCGAGTCGGGAAAGTCGAATCGGCGGAGATCGGCAGCCTAGTAGGCCTCCACTGAGAAATCGGAGCCCAAATCGGAAGCCGAAGTCGAATCGGAATCGGAATCGGAAGCCATCAAAATCGAACAGAATCGACTCGGAGGAATCGAAAGGAACCCTGCGCAGGTGCTCTTCTTCCCCTGCGGCGCCCGACGCCACCAAGCCGCTGACCCTGAGCCGCCCGCAGGTGCCGCGCCCTGGCCGGCATCCCCGCCGGGGGCCCCGCCCCAGGACGAAGCCAGGACGAGGCTAAAATTGACCACCTACCAGACCACCCCAACCAACGCGAGGACCCGAATTTCCGGTTGGGGAAGGGTGCGGGCTTCACATCTGTTTTTTTTCAATGCTTCGGCACACCCGAAACCGCCCTTACCATGAACCAGCCCTTCCACCCTTTCCCCTGACGCTGGGATTCCGAACTCATGGTACAGGCCCGCCTGTGTAGGGATCCAGACGAAATCGCTTACCTGCTCAAAACCTACTATGTCTATCAGGCGCCGTGTCGTGAATATCTGGATTTGCGGGCTGCATGGGCTTGCGCCCGCGGTTCCTTGATAACAGAAAGACAACTGCATGCACATCGTGAGTGATGAAAACTAGCTGAAGAAACGCAATACTGGTTGGTTGGCAACACCGTTTGCCGCCCTCACCCACATATCAGACTTAGATCGGCGCCGCCAAACGCGAGCGCCGCTGCTTGTACGCAACAATGTAAAACGAAAGCATACCGCGACGCATTGACATCCATTTGGGACTAAGAATTGCAGCCACGTGCGGAAATGTGGGAAGGTTTAGACGGAACGCCACGCTGACAATTTAGATGATGCAAGAACATGGACAATGCTTGGCGCAACTTCGCTGTCGCCAACAGGCGGAGGCCATGAAAGGCGCGTTGCTTAGGTGTGATGGAAACGGCAGCGAAGAACACTGCAAAAGGCCAAGGGTTGATGCAGAACCAAAACTCTGGCATGGAAAAGCCATCGCGGGTATGACCACTGTGTCTTGATTCACTGAGCCTTGTGCCACTGGATTCTCAAGTCCCATAAAAGCGATACCAAACGCGAACTCCCTAACCCAACTGGCCGCATTCGCGTTTTCGCGCAGCAAAATACCAACCACAATAGGCATCAAATAGCTCGGGGGTTTGCACGTGCCCACAAACAACACACACGTCCTAGCTCTAGCCATTATCCATTGCGCGGAAACCTACGCAACAACGCAACAACGCATTGCAAGAAAACTGCAACACTTCCTGGGGGGGTGGAATCAAATAGTTGTTTCTGGGGGCTCGCCACGTGGTCGCACTTAGGACAAACTTACTGGCTCTTCTGTGGGGGGTGGCAAAATGGGGTGTCGGCTTGCGTTTCCGAGCCCCTTGGAGGTGCGGCCCACAAGTTTATGAGAGTGATCATGGGTTCCCCTCTTTCCGTTGAGGCCCTGTCGCGTGATTGCAATTGCATGTGGTTGCCTCCAAAACCTTCGGTGCCTGCAGATGCTCCAGACGGCGTTGCACGATGTAAGAACATGTTTCGTGTCCCTGCCCCCCCCTCAAGCGACATGTGCACGCCCCCGCTTTGTCACAACAATAGTTCGTGTTGTCTTGTTCGGGGTTTGAACGTGGTCAGCGTGTCGTGTTCCGAGCTGGCTCATTCTCGACCTTGCCGCCTCCCCATAGCCATTTTTCCTCGAGCAGGTGCTGTGGCATTCTCGGCAGCAGTTGACTGCGCTTCCTGTGTCACCGTTCTTTGCACCTTGCCGACTCCACCGTTCACTTCCGTGGTCATGGGGAAACGTGCAGGTGAGTCTCTGGCAGATCAGCGCGCGAAGTTGGCGAAGAGGCAGGCCCAGCTCGACATACTGGAGAGCAAGAAGAAGCTGAACAGAATCTTAGGCAACAATGCCCACTTGCATGAGGTTCTGTTGAAGCACTGCCACAACTTAGGGTACCATGAGGATGCAGATACAGGTGGCAGCCGAACCATACCGAATCGTCTCAAACTACAGCCAACTAGCTACACAACACAGTTTAGGGTGGCACGGGGGAAACATTCAATGATTTGTCTGCGCGTGTACGTTTTCAAACTAAGGAGGGGGAAGGGGGCGGCGGAGGAGAAACGCCTTGGCGACTCACGTTGCTCTACGGAGGAGGCGGCGGAGGAGAAACTGCAGGGCGATTCACATATGGCAGGGGATGGTGGGGCACAGGGGAGGCATGCGAGGGAAGGGGGGGTTGGAGGAGGAGGAGGTGGCAGTGCGGAGGATGAGGAGGATGGGGAGAGAGGGAGGGGGCGAAGGGGATCAAGAAGTAGAGACACTAGACACATGACAGGCTGTATTGATTCGGTTGGGCGCCTAACCAGGTGTGACTCTCGCAGAGCACCAGGCGGCGCCTCGCAAGCGGGCCCCCCTCGCCATTTCAGATACAGTTCCCATCGAGCCAGCCATTGGATTGGTCGGACAGGCACCTGCACCTCAGAAGGAGGAATGTGCTACGTGGGCCAAATCACCGACCGAGTTCTTGTTGAAGAGGCTGGCCGCTTGCGAGCCTGTCTTGTGCGCGCCGATGGCGATGCGGGCGATGATCCCTCCTGGCAAACGCCAGCACGTCAAGTCTGAGTTGCTCAAGTTGTTCGAATTTAACACTGGTCGTGACCCTAACGGGGACATCAGCGAGGATCTTCAGGACGAGGCCATGATGGACTCCGGCTTGGAAGAAGATACGTCGCGCAGGGGGCATCGCATGGCCCGCATGCCCTTGCCTCCAGACTACAACAAGCACGGGGTGTACCTGTGGGATCCAAAGACCAGCACGGTCAAGCACCGATTCACTCATGAGGAGGTGGAGCTTGACCAGAAGACCATCGATGCTATGGGCAACGTGTCCAAGGCCACCATCTACAGCAACTGGAGCGAGATCAATGCGTGCCTCAAGGTCCCAGGTACCAGGGTCAACATTCGGTTGGGCCAGTTGTTCCCTGATCAGTTCCCGACTCGCAGCTCCCCATCCAAGACTTCACCGCCAGCTCCTAAAAGTCTCAGCAATGGCAGCTATAAGACCTCTATGTCAGGGTCACCGCTGGATGCGCCCAGGGACGAGGCTGCCGTGCTGGTTCCTTTGCCTCCAACTGGTGATTGAGTACTCCAGTATGCTTGGACGCCGTGGGCATTTCGTTTGAAGAGAATTCTGTTGGCCGATGCTACAGCATGTGGGTTCACTCGTGATGTAAAGTAGGATCGAGTGGTTGCTGCATTGGGTATTTAGGTCTCCACACGAACTCGTGTAGCAGGGGTGTCTGTGAGGGTTCGTGCTGGTCGCGAATTCCGCGGCCAATTTTGCACAGCTGCAGCGAGTGCAGCAACGCGGCTTGCCTTGGGCCACCTGTAAATCACACCAGCCTCCAAGAAACAAGCGTTGGAAAACAACAGTTGTGTTGATGATAAGGGTTGCATTTGTTGCAGTGATGATGCCAATGTTGATGCTGTTGACTACGTTTATGGCAATGCTGACGAGTGAATTGTAGGCCAGATGTCTTCCAAGTCGGCGATAAGGGGCGTGCAGGGGAGGGGGGGTCTCTTTCAACCTTGCCTGAGGGGTCGTCCAAAACGACGTGTAGGGGGGGACCTGGGAAACGACTGGCTCGGGATGGACTTTTCATTTGCATTTCCACAGAAGACCCCAGAGCCGACTGCAAATGGGTAGGAGGAGGAGGGGGAGGCGGGGGAGGACGAGAAAGGGGAGGGGGGGGGCTTGCACCCCCCCGCTGACTCTAATAATGTACTCAGCGTCGGGTTTGGGGTTCCAGGTTGCACGCAATAGTCATTATGTGCCTCAGCCATTTCCACTCGTCAAGACTTCTGTGATAGCACAGCACTATGCCCTTACCAGACTCCGAATGCTGGTGGAAGAAGGTGAGTGCCATATCAAGTTGTGGGGATTATTTGGATCTTGTTTGGCATGTTAGGGAGTACGATTGGGGTGCAGAGTCTGGTGTGCAGCCTCCGCACTTCTGGGAGATCCGCCATTACCTTGACCGCATATACAATGAGAAGAAGGGTGTTTACGTAATTGTCAACAAGCACAAGTTTCATTGGGTTGGCGTGCTGACCCGCATCGGCGTGTCGATCACGGACCACCTGCACGTCCCCTGCAAGTCTGCCAAAGTTCACGGCCTGTCTTGTGAGTTGGCGTCATACGAGTACGAGGCATCGACAATGTTGACGGTCATCATCCTTATGCATGCCAGGGCCCACCCTTACAAGAAGATCAGTGCTAAGGCGACTGGTGTAATGCACGCGTTCTTTCTATCAGCTCTACCCGCAGACAGCTTGGGCGGCGTGTGCTACTTCGAGGTGCCACTCGATATCGTCGAGGCCTTCGCTGACACCGCCGATGGCGACAAGGTCATGGTTGATCGCGCCAGGGGGGAGCTTCAGAAAATCCACGGCAACAGTCGAGCAGATCCTCAGTCTAAAGTGGCGGACCAATTGAATTTATTGTACCATATGTCTGAGAACAATGAGATGATATTTCAGTTCTTCGAGCGCGTGGTCGTCGATTGCGTTGTGGCAATCGATAAACACAGGGTCTGGGAATCTACGTTCACCAACGACTATCAGAAGGATGGGAGAGACTTGACCCTGGCAGGTAAGTGCAAGCGCAGGAGGATGGACCCAGGATTGCAGAAATCTTTGGCTCGTGTCTCGTCGCAGAGGCTAGCTAGCACGACGTCTGCGTTCATCAGGGCGAACCCTGGCCTCTACGGCGCCAATCACGGGCTACGCTTCAACGATCAATCTGTGAGGTCGAAGTTATCTGCGTCATGGTTGAGCTTCTCGGAGTCGCAGCACGTCAGCGTGGTGGCTGATGGTATCACGAGTGGGTCCCCAGCGACTGACAACCTTGTCATTGCCGCGTACGACCCCGAGAAGAGGTGCTCGACCTGGTTGCCGCCAATGGACCACAACTGGCTTGAGCCAAAAACAGACGAGGGATTTGAGCCAAGGGGCCGAGGGGGAAATGGGGAGGAGGACGGAGAGAGGAGGAAGGCGGCAACGGGAGGGGTGGTGGTGGAGGGGGGAAGGAGGATGCAGGAAGGAGGAGACAGGAGGTATGAGCCAAGAAGGACGATCGAGTAGCACGTATCTCTAACGAAAAGGAAACCCCTTCCCGAGGTAGGGACGGTTTTGGGAGGGGCGGTTTTGGGCGTCCCAGGGGGGGCGGATTGCGAGGATGTCTCGAGCGGCGGCCCCCCAAAACCGTCCCTACCCAAAACCGTCCCTACCGCCCCGACCGGTACCAGACACGTGCATCCCTGTGAGGGGTCTGTCGGGCTTCCTCCTTCCCCCCTCCCATCCCTCCTCCTCCTCCTCCTCCTCCCTACTTCTCCCTCCTCACCACCACCTCCTCGCCTACCCTGTGTTTCTTTTTCTGTATCCGCCCTCCCTTAAGGAGATGACGCACTTCGCGGAGGACCAGCCTCTGCCCTCGAATGTTCTGGACAGGCCTGCAGCCCAGGTGCATTACCAGGAGGTTGCAGTCCTCAAGATGCATGCTTTCTTTGACGCCGAGGCCAAGACCAAGTTGACCCAAGAGTTGCAGGATCATCCAGAGTTCAAGCAACAGCGAATCGCCAACACCGAGTACGGGCTGGCCCTCGACAAGGCCATGCAGGTCGGGATCGGTTGCCCCACGTCGAGGTTCATGGTCAAGCACCCCTTGCAGCCGCTGAAGCAGACCGAGCAGCGCTATTTGGCCATGGTCGACTCGCCGTTGGGCCGACAGCAGAGAAGCTGCATCTTCGATACGCTGACGAAGAAGGCGAGGCTCGAGCTGATACACGACATCTCCAACGGCAAGGTTGTCCAGCCCACGTTGTACATGTGCATGGACCGTTGCAGCGTGGGTCGAGGTATGATGGATTTCTTTCAGGTCGGGACATCTATGAGAACAGTTTGCCATTATGACCCATGGCATATCATCGAAGGTTTCATCAAATCAGCGTATGTTGCGTGCGGTCTACATTCTCGCAAACTTCAAGCCATGGTGTGCTACCGTGCATTCAGTGGTCCTTTTCATTCGTGTGCTTTCTGGAACGCGTTCAAGTCATGCGCCACCCACTTCTTCAAGATATCCAAGAGCGACTGCCCTCTGTATGATATTTGCTACCCGTTGATCTGCGAGGACAGGGGTATCTCAATGGAGCAACAGATTGACCCGAGTTTCCGAGAGAAGCTGTGGAAGTTGCTTCCATCGTCTGCTTGCTTCCATCGGATGGGGTTCCAGCCAGTGTTAGGCCGGTGGGGGAACTTCGAGTCCAAGCACACTGCCTTCAAGCCTGACCGCTCGGTCATACTCATGATACTGCTCCACATGGGCATTCAGAAAGGGTGGTGGAAGGACGTCCAGCACAGCCCCCTCTTCAAGGTCCTGACTGACGTCGGTGACGTATGCGACGACGACGGCCTCCACGATCTCGCTGGAGGTGGCGATGATGCAGATGGTCCCCCAGATCCGCCTGCCCCCGCAGGCGGCCTCGCGCTTGCAGCGAAGCCCAAGGTTAAAGATTCGAACGCGGCACTCCAGCGGGTGCGGCAGTCTCGTGTCAATACGCTGGACTTTGCATGTTGGTACTTGGCCGACATCGAGGGTTCGAGGGAGATGGACGCTGCGACGATTGCGGTGGGGCCTTTGACAGAGTTGTTTCACGTGCACCTTACCACGCACAAGACGCTCTGGGGTCACCAGGAGTTCTTCAACGGGCTCAGCGAAGGTCTGCTGATCGATACCATCGTGAAGACATGGGACTTGATGCGGGACCCGAGCACCATGCGGTCCCTTGGTCTTGCTACGTTCGACCGCATGGGCTGGACATCCCTAGAGTCCGACAAGAAGGTTGCCCAAGTTCTCTTCGATTGCTGCGTCTCGGTCACTGCCAACCTAGGGGTGTACGAGTTCGAGTTCACGCACAGTCTGTACGGTTTCTGCCCGCGGCTCCTCCAGACTACGGACCAAGCGACGCTCAAAGAGGAGCGACTGGGTTCTGTGAAAATGCAATAGGGAAGGTCGGAACGATTTACATGGGGAGGTTGGGGAACTTGGGGGTGATTCCGTGAGGGGATAAGGGTGATTCGCAATCGAACTACCCCCAGGACCTTGACACGTTGCGTACGTGGTGGGAAATACTTACTAGATTGGAGGCCGATATGCGTTTTTCAGATGAGCTGACGGCCAAGTGGGAATCGTTTTGGTGGCCGAAAATGCAATGGTGCAGGGAAGTGCTTGTCAGACTTTACGAGACAGAGTTCAAGAGTGTCCCCGACGACGTCAAGGAGAAGATCAAGTTGTGGCAGCAGTCGTTCCGAGTTTCACTTCCTTGCGAGATGGGCGGGAACCACTTGAGGATCAGAGAGCGCGCCCACCCCAGCAAGCGCATGTCGAAGATTGAGAAGTGGCACACCTTGCAGGAATCACCTGTCCTGGCAGATTTCGAAAGGTTCCCAGTGAAGGTTACTGCAGTTGCTGATGCCAACAAGCCTGCGAAGATCGCGGACTCCAGCTTCAGTGCGAAGGGATGGGTGCATTCGCTTGGTGCTGAGTTCGACCGCCTAGGTAAGGAGGCAGACTGGGTTGCAACAACGCACGAGAATCGCATGCGCTGCTTCATGTCGTTTGCAGCTTTTGTAGCAGTGAATGGTGACTGGGAGAAGCACTGCAAATTGTGGTTCGGATTATTCGCAGTTGTTGGACACCTGATTCATATTCCATCTACTGGTGCATGTGGCAGCCTCAGTGACTTCAATATCGGATCGATCGCTTCCATGTTGTTGTTCGTTCGGGCTTGAATGCGGTAGGTCGTGGTCGCATCAGGGTTCGTACTGAAGCAACGCCCCCTACTCCTCTTACGCGTTGTCGCTCTCCGATTCGCCCTCTCCACCTGCCTGGATAGGAACCTGGCCTTGCCGAACCCCCATCATTGGCACGTCGGAAATTGCGTGTCCCCGCCGACACGTCAACTTTGACATGCTAATGATGTGGCGTTCGGTGTCGCACTTAGGTGGCATTGTGTGCTCAGTGTCTGCTACTGGGGTGCTGGTGGCACCCGCGAAACGGGTGGACGTTGGAGGAATCGTCGGGTACCGAGTGTGTTGCATTGATGACGAGACTGACGCCTTGAAGATTTTCTTGGTTACCCATGTTGACCATTATCAGATGACAGCCGTGCGCCCGATGGTGCCACGAGAGCTCCCCGAAGGTCTGGAGGGCACAGCCTTGCAACCGTAACTCTGGGCCATGGCCTAAGAGATGAGATCGGGGTAAGGGGGCAAAGCGGCCAGGGAGAGTCGAAGGTCAGTGACGCCACTCATCGAGTTACGGTTGCTCGGTAGCCCTGAAAGGTTTCACGCTGGAACAACGCTGTCAGTTATATTTGACGCCGTGCGATGTCATAGACGGCAAGTCAACTTTCAGCCTGATGGAGTTTAGTGCTAACTTTGGTTTTCCCAATCTACATGTAGCAGCCTTCAAGAAGATGGTGAGGTATCTCGAGATCAAGACGAAACACATTCCTACTGCTGAGAAGGCGTTGTTCAAACTTCTCGTCAAAGACATCATCGATGACGTTACTGATAAACGAATTGAGGAGCTTTGGGCCTTGAGGGGTAAGGCGACCAGGGAGGAGAAGGAGAACAAGGACAAGGCTATTTTGTCCGAGAACTTCTCCCACTGCGAGGGCGTGCTTGACGACAACGACGTCAAGCAGGTGAACGACATCGTCAAGGAAGCGAAGGAGCAGCTGCGCAAGAAGCTCGCCCACTACGCGGAGAGACCCAGCATGGCGGGGGTCGAGACTGACGATCGCGGTTCGGTGATCAAGCTCGAGTGGGCCCAGGCGCTCGTGCCCCCAGATTGCAGGCTCGACAAAGACGACAAGCTGTTCTGGCGCTGGGCAGGCTCTATGCCCAAGAGGGTGAAGAAGCCTAAGACCTTTACACGGGTCTGGGGTGGAGACACTGGCAGGACGGAGGGGAAGGCACTTCGGCTAGTGCTGGAGACGCTATGGGAGTGGCACTCGGACGGCACCGAGGCGACTAAGTGCCCCCACGACTGGGATAAGCTCCTCCCAGTTGTTGCATGATGTGCATGAGTGGAGCTTCGAGGCGATTGCTGCATCGCGGGGGAGCCCGCATTTGGGGATGATGTGGGTACTGCTGCAATTGGGGTGCCTCTTGGAGCTTCGCGTTGAGGCCACGTTGGCTTTCCCACGCGCCTGTGAGAGCCGTCTCGCTGGTGCTGCTCGCTGCTGGCCTGGAGGTTCGGTGAGTTGGCCGAACGAGTTGTGGGGTAAAATGTTAAGGTCCTGTCGCCACCACATAAGATGTCATCACACTGACTTGTCACATTTGTGATTCTGACGCTGTCCCAATACATGTCTTCGTTATCGAAAGGCTTGCGCCTACATCCGCCTACCTCTACTCACACGTTTCACTCGCACCTTCGCTAGATGAGTGCATCTCCCCCCGTAGTTTGTAGCATCAATATTTGCAACAACCACCTGCCTCCTCTCTCCTGCTCCCCGCACCTCTCCCCCTCCCCTCACGTCCCGCTGCCTCCCTCCTCCCTGACCCTCCCCTTCCATCCATCCCTCCTCCCTCCTCGCACTCCAGTGCTCCTCCCCCTCCTCCTCCTTTGTTCCTCTCCTCCCCCCCCCTCTGTGTTCTCGCAAGGCTGCCTTTCCTCCCCCTCCCCCCACTAGTTTCAGATAGGCACCATGACCAAACACAAGTAACACAACAAATGCATACACAAATGACCTGGCACTGCTTCCTCCCCCTTCCCAGCCTCCTCCTCATCATCATCCCTCCTCCCTCCCCCCCTACCTACTCCTCCATTCTTCCTCCTCGCCTTTCCTCCTCCCTCCCTCCTCGCTTCCTCTTTTGTTTGTTTTCAGCTGAGCACCAAGTGCGCAACCTAGGGTAGCGGCGCTATGCGCTTCCATCTGGTAGCGGACACACCCGATCAGCGTGCGTTTGGTGCTAGATTTCCCTACATGTCTGGGATCCCCCCAAACCCTAGAGTCGGTGGGCGGTTGGGTCGGTTTCGGGCACGCCAAATGCTCCCCGACCCCCCCCCACTGGAAGTGGAGGGCACATCGGGGCCTTCGGGTTGGGTAGGGGTGATGTGGTGGGCGGTGGCCATCTACTTCGACCCCATGTGGGTTCGGTGGGCAGTAAAAAATTGGGGGGGAGGCTAAATCGAGAATTTTTGAGAACCGGCGGCTCTGGGGATGTCTCGGGCGCCGCGGCCTTCTCAGAGCGTTCCAGAGCGCTCTGTGAGCGCTCCGGAACAATCTGGAACGGATTCATCCTCGTCCTGGCCCCGTCCGACTCCCCCCCCCAGGTGCATGAATACTATACACGAGCAACTGCGTGGACAGGCCAAGCCGGAAACGGAGAGGGGGTCCCGATCCTCGGCGCAGCCGTGCTGCATCCTTGCTGCCCAGTCCGACTGTCTAGCACCCTCGCGGGAGGACCTCGAGCCCAGTCCGACTTTGTAGCATCCTCGCGGGAGGACCCCGAGTGCGATCTCTGCCCAGGGCATTGCGAGGGCACCCGCGGGCGCCACTCCTTAAGCGGGGACCGACCGTCCCAGCATTCCTGTAGGCCTACCACGACATGTTCTTGGAGCCCAAAGATGTTCTAATAATAGAAACAATGTTCGTAGACCATAAGCCCGACGTGTGAAAGCAAGGCAGTCCCAGCCAGAAATGCTCCTGGAACATTTCGTGCAGATCACAAGAGGTTCTGAGACCATTCTTCGGTGGGCCTATGGGCAAGCCCGGACCGCTTCGCCACTGCTTGACACTCCAGACCAGGAGCAAGTCGTCTTTTTCATCGTCGTCTTTTTCATCGTCGTCGCCGTTTTTCTCGTCGTCGACGTCGTCGTCGTCGTCGTCGTCGTCGTCGTCGTCGTCGTCGTCGTCTTCGGAGGAGGAGGAGGATGGGGAGGCTGGGGAGGATGGGGAGGAGGAGGAGGAGGAGGAGGACGAGGAGGAGAAGGAGGAGGAGGAGTGGAGGAGGGAGGAGGAGGAGGAGGAGGAGGAGGAGGAGAAGGAGGAGGAGGAGGGGGAGGAGGAGGAGGAGGCTGAGGAGGAGGCTGAGGAGGAGGAGGAGGAGGAGGAGGACGAGGATGAGGAGGAGGAGGCCCCAGCGGGGGAGGAGGAGGAGCGGGAGCGGGAGCGGGGGCGGCCCGAGCCGGCCCAACTTCCCGCGCTACTCGGCCCACCCCCCCCGACCGTCCAAGCGCGGCGGGCCTCGTACATGAAGCGCCCCGCCTCGACTAGCCGGATCTTGAGCGACACCTGCGGCCCGCCCTCCGAGAGGGGCATCCTTCTTGTCTGCGTGCCTCCGTTCGGGGGCGCGCAAACACGGATTAGCGATCCATGGATTTGGCGCACGTCCCCAAAATGCGGCCAGCGCCGCCTCGCTCGGCGGCGGAAATCTAAGATTTCCCATGGAAACGGGACCCGTCGCTAATCCACGCCCCCTTGATCCATGTTTGCGATCGCCTGAGAGAGAGAGAGAGAGAGAGAGGAGCATCCTTCTTGGCTGCGTGCCTCTATGCTTCCTCGGTTCCCTCGTCCCCAACTTTTTTGTCCGTCGTCAGTGCTCCCATCTCCGTCCCCCCTTCCCTCTGCCCCCTCCGTCCTTCCTCCCTCCTCCTCCCTCCTCCCCTCGTCCCTTCTCTCGTCTCCTCCTTTGTCCTCCCTTGACACCCTTCCGTCTTTCGTTCTCCCTCATCCACCCTCCCTCTTCCTTTTCCATCTTTCTCCTCCTTCTCCTCATCATCACCATTTCTCTCCTCCTCTTCCTCCTTCTCGCTCATGTCTTGCCTTTCTCTTCCCTCTACCCTTTTCCCTCTCGTCGAAGTTTCCCTCCTCTCCTCCTCCAAACGTATCCCTGCCCCAACCTCCCCCTCCCACGATCTACTCCCTCATCTTCTCTTCTCCCTCTCCCTTCCTCATTATGCGTACCTCTCCTCGTCCCACGACTCCGCCTGCTCACCCTGTCGCCTTCCTCGTCGTCGTCCTCCTCCTCCTCCTCCTCCTCCTCCTCCTTCTCCTCCTCCTCCCTCTCCTCCCCCTCTCGTCCCTCGCACCCCTCTCCGAATTCTCCCTCCTTCAATTTCCCTCAGCTTCCACCTCCCTCCTCCTCCTCCTCCTCCACCACCTCTTCCTCCCACTTGTATCCTCCATGTTGTTTGCCTCTACTCCCTCCTTCCTTCTTAGGTTTCTCCCCCATCGGCCAGATCCTGCCCATCCTGCTCCTCACCCTCCTTCTTTGCCTCCTTCTCTTTCTCACTGCTATTCCAGATGATCAGCTCTTCCTTCCTCCCCCACCCAAGAGGCCCCCAAGAGGCTCTAAAGAGGGCTCGAGGGCCGGCGGAATGAGCGAAGCGATTAAATAAACTGTTACCTTCTCCTTTTGCTGGACATGCTCAATCATTAGAGCTAGTAGCGACGACTCCGCGAGACTGGCCGCGTGATACGAACGATCGCGCAATGCGTACTCTCGAAGCCAGCGTGGATTCATGTCCGTGTACGTCCCTCTGTCGTTCCTAATCGTCGTCCTCTCTCCTCCTCTCCTCCCTGCTCTGCCCTCCCCCTCTTCCCCCTATTGCCCCCCCGGGTCCCACTCCTCGATCTAGTCACCCTCCCCTTCTACCTCCTATCGGCGGCGGACCAACCCCCCTTTAGTAAACCACCCTTTCGTGAAAACGGCCCAGGACCGAAACCGACGGACCTGGACCCGCAAAAATGACGGCCGCGACGCCTCTCGCGAATCGAAAACCGCCAATTCGCTAATCGACGTGTCAGGGTAGGAGGTCTATCAACCTCCGATCCTTACCTCCTCTCCCTAGACACCGGACGCCACGACCTTATTGCCACGTGGAGCCCCCCGAAGGTTCCGCCACACTGCGCACGCCTCGCGCGCGCCAGGGTTCTCTAGCGCAGTCTGGGGGCTCACCGGAAAAGCTTGGACAGATCAGTCATGCACAAGCGCGTGCCATACTCGCATCCATCCTCATGGTCATTATCAGTCCCAGCGTCTTCCTCATCCTCATCTTCTCCCATCGTAGCCAACGTCGTCATACCAGGACTCATTGTCTACTTCATCACCATTGGACACATCATTGGCCTGGTGGTGCTGGTGATGCTGCACATCAAACTCGCGCATCGTAATCATCGTCAACATCAACAGCAACACGGTCCTCATTCGAATCATCAACCAAATTCTCAACTCATCAATATCCGACCCATAATCATCACGATGGGGCCCGCTACGCTTAGCGCGTACGTCGTCGCAACCATCGTCTCATCCATCATCCTCCTCATCGCGCGCGCTCAGGTTCTAGCACAAACCAAGTGATTGCTGCCAGAACTGCGCTGGCTCGAATATGCACAAACGCGAGCCCTAGTCTCTTCCGTCATTACCCCTCAGCATTATTACCGTCGTCCCCCAACGCCCATGTTCGTCATGGACACTATCATTGTCAACAAGTATCATCATAACTGCCATCTTGGCTACCATCATCGGTTCACTGCTGTTGGTGATGCGGTGACGTCAAAGCCGCGCGGCATCATTATCATCACCATGGTCCGCACCCGAGTCATTGTCTTCATTCTCTTTACCATCATCCTCATCACCGCCATCACAATACAACGCACTACGCGGACCGTTTACATCGTCACAGCCGTCGACCCGCCCATCACCACCCTCGTCACAATCATGGTCGCCAGCTTCGCCATCATCACCCTCTTCGGCGAGATGCCCCTGGAGAAACATCTGGAAACATCGTGTCTTCGTGGGTTCCTTTTTGGTACCCCCCGTCTTCCTCATCCTCAGTAGTACTCGGCATCGTCCTGATAGTGACATTCACATTCGTCATGGCCATCACAAGTGTCAACAATCATCACCATCGTCATCAACACCGCCATCAAGGCTGGCATCATCGGTTCACTGCTATTGGTGATGCGGTGGCGTCAAAGACGCGCGTCGTCAGTATCACAATCACAGTTCGCACTCGACATATCATCTCCAGTCCTTTACCATCATCGTCATCGCCGCCATCATGGAAAACCCGCTCACTGTTCAGGTCGTCGCAGCTGTTGTCTCGCCCATCACCAGCCTCATCACCTCCATGGTCATCAACTTTGCCATCGTCGCCGTTGTTGGCAAGATGTTCACGGAGAAGCCTCCAAAAATCATCTTGCCTTGGTGGGGTCCTCTTGATCAATTGTGGGTGCTCGTGGGGTGTCTTAGGGCTCGCATGGGCCGTTATGTGGGCCTTCAATGGGGGCTCTTGCGTTGTTGAAGCGACTTTGCAGTCCTCATGTGCCGTGTGGGAGCCCGGGAAACTCCACAATCCAACAGCGACAAACATACGGCACAGCTGAAAGGAAAACATGATGTTTGCATGTTGTCGCCCTAGCATTTGTACAATACACCCGTTCGGCTTCGAAGATATTCCGCCCTCGCCTGTGTAAGCTTGGCAAAGAATGTACGGGTCCCTTTTCCACATAACTCCCCACTTGCACGGAATGTCCTAACATATGCGCAGTGGTTGACACTCCCCTGCGGAAGGAGGAGGAGGAGCACGAGGAGGAGGAGGAGGAGGAGGAGCACGAGGAGGAGGACGCACCGATCGGCAAAACAGTGCATATGAGAACGATCACCAATGCGATCCTGGCTTGGGCAAGGCAAGAAGGCAAGGCCGTGCAACGGCTCCGCCCACGCCGACCATCGCAGCCGCCGGGCTGCGCGGCGCACCCGCGCGCTGCAGCGAGGCTGTGAGGCATGGGAATGGGCAACAACACCAAACACAAGGGGTTGCGTTCCTAGATTTTTTTGTTGGTGGTAAGCTTTCGGCGACCCGGGAAGCCCATGCTACCATCATCGCAGAGCATCGGCAGCATCTTCCCTCGGTGGAGGCGCACCGCCGATGTTGTTGATGCCAAGCTCTGGGCCTCCGAAAGGCGCAATGCTCAGAAAGCAACTCACGGAAGCTTTTGGTAGTCCCCATGGCGCCCAGTAGCGCACTCAATCGGGCGCAAAGCGGACATAATGCACACCTCCCTCACCTGACGGGCGCTATTGGTTGCTATTGGACGCTAGTGGAGCGCTGTTGGGCGCTATTGGGCGCTATTACGCGCTATTGAGTGCTGTTGGGCGCTATCACCAGCACGCATCCAATCCAAGCCGAGCAAAACAAAAGGGGGCCGACGGACACACACACACACACACACACACACACACACACACACACACACACACACACACACACACACACACACACACACACACACACAATAACAGACACAAACCACAAGGTTCCCCACAGTGTTCCATATTATGTGGAGTTCCGTCTTGTGCTTTCCCTTCCTGAAGCAGCTTGTGTCGTTTGCTATCTGGCGATGCTGTGAGCGCGCAGGGCCAGTGGGCGCTATTTGGCGCTATTGAGCGCTGTTGGGCGCTATCGCCAGCATGCATCCAATCCAATACGAGCAACATCTTCCGTGGCGTACTATCTAATGATGCTGTGAACACTTGGCGGCGTGCACAAGGGGGTAGGAGGAGGGGGGAGGGTTTCTTAGAAGGCGGCTGCTTCAGAGAAGGCGCCAGCCTGCCCTCTAGACAGAAGGCCCGCGCCTTCTAAGAACCAGGGGTGCTTCTAAGAAGCCTTCCCCCCTCTCCCTGCCCCCCCCCTACGCGTGGCCGAAACACGCAGGGCCAGCAGCGAGGCACGCGCGGCCGGCGGCGCCCCCCATCCGAGCCCGGGCGCACGCTGGAGACGGCCGCCGTGCCGCCACCCTGCGTGGCCGTCGTCCCTCCTCGCCCCGTCTCCGTGGCCATCCTCCTGCTCCGCCTCCTCCTCGGCGGCGCGCTGCTCCGCCTCCTCCTCGGCGGCGCTCTGCTCTACCTCCTCCTCCTTCTCCTTGGCGGCGCGCGGCTCCGGCTCCTCCCTCTGCTCCGCCTCCTCCTCCTCCTCGTCCTCCTCCTCCTCCACCTGCTGGCCGTGGCGGCGGGCTCGTCGTCTGCCCTTGGCGCCCCGCGCCAGGGGGACAATTAAGGGGAGGGGGGAAGGCCTCTCGGAAGGAGGCTGCTCCTGGGGAGGCGCCGGCCTCACTTCTGCAGACGAGGCCCACTCCATACTGAGGTCAGGTCGGGCGTGTCCCCCTAATGACAGGGGGATTTTCTAGGAACAACCAACCATATACCCCAAATGCTCCAAAATGGTAAAACATGGTCAAACATCGTGCCCTGACTATTTTTGACTACTTTTGAATATTCCTCCTGTAGAGGGACAGGCCCGACTTAACACTAAGGAGTAGGGGTGCTTTTACGAAGCCCCCCACCGCTCCCCGCCCCCCCCCCCTTTGCACTGCGGCGTGGCCCGGCAGCGCGACTGCGGCCGGGAGCGGCCAGCAAAGTCTTGTGGCCCCCCAGCGCTGGGTCGGGGGCTGCGGCCCGCATGTGCCAGGATGGGGTTCGTGCGACCTCTGCTGCGTAGCGATCGAAGCCGCCCGCTAGTGCCGCGAGCTCCCCCCGCCGCACCCCGCGCGCACCTCGTAGGCGACGTCCAGCGCGTGCGCGAAGTTGTGGAACCTCGGGCAGGGGCAGCGGCGGGGTGGCGCGCTGACGACGGAGCGGTGGCGGAGCGGTGGAGCTGATCGGGACGGGCGAGAGGAGTGCTAGCAGCTAGCATCAGGTCGAGCGTGTCCTCCCACGGGCGGATTTTGAAAGAAACATGCACCACATCAGACAATATACTTTGTATACTGATCAGGGCACGAAAGATCTTCACCGTACCTTTTCTGACGATTCTTGGATACTATCCCTATGGAGGGACACGCCCGACCTGATGCCAGCAGCGGGGAGCCGACCGGAGCGGTGGAGCGCATCGAGAGGGGGGCTGCTCGGAGCGGTGGCGCCGACCGGTGCCGACAGCGGACTGGCCATCGCGCGGACGTCCATTCCCCGTGTTTTTTTAGGTTTCGTGCGTGGCTTTTTTCGCCAAAGGATCAAGGATGCTCCTCGATGGTCCTCGCCGAAGGGAAAACGCACACGTCCGAGCGATGCCAAGTGACAGCAGAGGGAGGCCGAGGAGGAGAGGAAGAAGAAGAAGAAGAAGAAGAAGAAGAAGAAGAAGAAGAAGAAGGGGGAGGCCGAGGAGGAGGGGAAGTGGGGGAGGAGGAGGAGAAGGAGGAGGCGAAGGGAGGCCCGGAGGCTCAGCGAACAGCCCACCTCTGCTGGCCTGCCCCCGGCGCCGCCCGGCGGCGGCAGCGGCCGCGCCGTCGAGGAGGGCGCCCGGCGGCGGGGCGCCGAGGCCGGCGGCAGGCAGCACTTTTTTTCCGGGCGGGGAGTGCGGGCCCCAAGAAGATATATGAAGGGGCCCTGGGGCACACAAAGAAGTACACACACAAATAACAGGAGTCCCCATATGCTCCCATGGTTTCTGGGTCCTCGTCTTCCCGCCCCATTCCCATATGTTCCCACATTTTCTGGGGGATCGACGATTCATTGTGTCTGTGTGCTTTTTTCCCTCCTGAATATGCCACCAGCAGCGCCATGCCCCCTACCTCCTCCGCCCTCCTCGGGCTCTCCTCCTGCTCTCCCTCCTCTCTCCCCTGCGAGAGGGGGGCGGTGATCGAGGCAGTGGTGCTGGTACAGCGCTGGGCCCCGAAGGGCGCTGCGGACCGCAGCGGGCCAAGCTCGCGCGAGACACCCGCATGCAGGGACAAAGGACAACTTTTTTGGTAACGCCTGTGCAGTCCGCACGCACCCGCACGCAGAACCGCTCATGGCTCTGCGTGCAGAGTCTGGCGGCCGGCGAAGGCTGCGCGCTCGGGAGAGGACAATAACAACAAGCGACGGCGGCCACAAGCACGTGCACGGGTTTCTCGGACGCTTCCGAAGAAGCTTCTCCGAAGCTGCTCAGGTGCGACGGCACGCAGGGCTCGGACGTGCTGTGCTGTCCGGCGGAAGGGGGGGGGGGAGGAATGGAAACGCAGGCAGGCGACGACGAACGCGCGGGAGGGAGGGTGGAATAGGGAGGCTGAATCTCGTGGGCACAGCAGACGTCCGTACCCGCGGCCTCGCGGGCCAGGCCCCCGGGCCGCGACCCTGCGGGTATGTACGGGCCGCTGTTTCGCGGATGCCCCGCAGGGAACATCTCGTCTGCGTGCGGCCGCGCAGCGGGGGGATCGCGCCACGGAGTCCGGACCGCCAGGGCGCCGATGCGGACATGTTCGCCGCTCAGGAGGAGCGGGGCTGCACAGGCTCTGCAGGCCAGGAGCCAGGAGCCAGAACCACAGCTGTGCAGGCTGCAGACCAAACATGCGTGGAAGAACCATAAACACGAGGCCCCAGGGCAGTGCCGCAATCGGCGCGCCGCCCCGAGACTCCGAGCCCGGCTGCAGTGGGGCAAGCAAGCGCAAGAACGCAATCTCTCCGAGGTCCGCGCGAGTGTTTGGGACCGGCGCCGGGCAATCTCCCCTCGACCAGGAGAGGAGCCACAGAACTGGGCGACCCCAGACATTGCCTGGCTCGTCGGACCCACGAGAAGTACATCGAATGCTCGATGGATCTACGGAGCATCCGACGCGTGGTCCGCAGATCCGACGGAAGAGACCAATCCCGGGGCGAATCGATTCCGTAGCCGCTTTCCCCCACTCGAGCCCCCAGTGGCGCGCGCGGCCGCGCGCCAGGGGCGAAGGCCGAGGCCCCGCCAGACGGGGGGCCCCAGCGCCGATCCAGGGAGTCCGCGCGGAGCTCCGAGAACGCATGAGGAGGAGGAGGAGGAGGAGGAGGAGGAGGAGGAGGAGGAGGAGGAGACAGCGACCTGGCGGGGACGACGAGGGCGGGCGGTGGAGACCGAGAGATCCGATGCGCATATCAGCTCCATGACTCTTGGGCCCCTGGCCCCATCGGATTGAACAAAGACCGACCGTCCCGGCATGCCTATAGTCCTACCACGAGATGTTCTTAGAACCCAAAGGTGTTCTAAGAACAACAACAATTTTCTTAGGACATAAACCCGATGTGCTAAAACAGGACAGACTCCGGCAGACATGTGCTAAGAACATCTCGTGGAAGCCACAAAAGGTTCTCAGAACAGTGTTTGGAGGGGCTATAGGCAAGCCGGGACGCTTCGCCACTGCTTGACTTCGATGGCGGAAACAGGCCGACGCGCCCGGCAGGGCTTACGTGCAGTGTCACTAACTCCCTAAAGGCTTGCAGACGGAACCGCCTCGTCTAAAACAGGGCCAGGATCGGGATAAATCGCTCCAGAACGTTCCGGAGCGCTCTCAGAGCGTTCTGGAACGCTCTGGAGCGGCCGCGGCGCCCAATACATCCTCCAAACCCGCCGATTCTCAGAGATTTCGAGTTATCCCGATCCGATGTTGTCCCGATCTTCGCGTCGTTTTATCGTCTGCCCTGCGCAGCTGCTCCTGCGCGGCCGCCCTCCTGCCGGCCACGGCCCTCGCAGCCGCGCCCTCCGTGGGAAAAAGGGGGCGGGGGGGTGCCCGCCGCCGTGCCCCGAGAGCTCGCAGCGCGGCGCGCCAGAACCCGTGCAGTGGCGAGCGGTGGGTGCACAGAGGGTTGGCAAGAGTGCAAGATTTGGGCGCCCGAGTTATCCAGAGTAACTCGGGTCCGGGGTAACTCGGGTTTGGATCCCCGCAAAAACGAACCCGCGTTAGCCCTGACCTGAGTTCCCCCTGATGATTTGGGGCTCTGGACGCCCGAACTACCCGGGGCAACTCGGGTCCGGGGTAACTCGGGTTCGGAATCCCGAAAAACGAACCCGAGTTAGCCCTGACCCGAGCTACCCATGATGATTCGGGGCTCTGAAAGATGTTCCTCCATCGGGGGCGCCTGTCCCAGGGCGGCTGGACAATTTATATACCCCGCCTGCCACCATAATGGTAACCACTTCAAAATACGTGCGACCTCGCAACTCCCTGGGGGGCTGCGAACTGCGCAAGCCTCGCCACGCTCATGGGCTCCCGGGAGGCACGGCGGGAGTCGGGGAGTAAACGGACCCATTTACAAAACCTCGAAGCTACCCAGGGCGCTTCGAACTGTGCAACTGTCGCCACTTTCGTGGGCTCCTGGGAAGGCCGGCGGAGTCGGGGAGTAAATGGACCCATTTGAAACTTCGCAGCTCCCAGGGGCGCCGTGAACCGCCCAGCTGTCGCCACCTTCGCGGGCTCCAGGGAGGCACGGCAGAGATGGGGTGTTAACCAACCCATTTGAAACCTCGCAACTCCCTGGGTGGCCGCGAACTGTGCAAGTCTCGCCACTGTCATGGACTCCTTGGAGGTATGGCGGAGACGGGGAGTAAGCGGACACATTTGAAACCTCGCAGCTTCCTGGGGGGCTGTGACCTGTGCAACCGTCGTCACTTTCGTGGGCTCATGGGAGGGCACGGCGGAATCGGAGAGTAAACGGACTCAAATGAAACTTCGCAACTCCCAGGGGCGCTGTGAGCTGCGCAAATCTGGCGATGCTTTCTGTCGCATGCAACGTTCAAACAAAGATTCGCCTCGCGTGGAGAAGGGATCGGGTCCGCCTCGAGTAAACACAAACAACGCATTGCCTGTAGCTCGCGATCACAGCAAGTACTGCCAAAACACTCGCACATTAAGATGCCCCGCCACATGTGTCATGATATGTTCGAGCTGAACAGGACAGGGGGTGAAATCAGGACCAGACCCAGGAGCAACAACCTATCGCAAATAGTTCTCCCTTTGGAGATCGGGTCCAAAAGGCAGGGATGCGTCTTTCGACTTAACTTGTTTACACAAGGTTTGCTTCAACTCCTTGTGCGCAATCTGGACACTCAGGCCGCAGTGAGTCGTGAAGGGGGGCGGCTCGTGCACATCGGCTTTTGCAGAAAAGCGTGAGCTCGTCTGCAACCGACGCATGATCTATCGCTGGCCCTGCTCCAGAGGTGCAGGTCAATGGAACAACAAGGGCCATCGCTCGGGCTCGAACCGACTGGGGGAAACCGCTTAACCGGATGGTTTCTTCACTAACGTTGCAATCCCCCATCAACATCGAGGGCGTGGCACGGGGCCGCACAAACTCAACAACCCCTCTCATCTTGGACATACGCTCCCCCGAGACATCCCGGCCCGGGACAAAATAACAAGCTTTAGGGGCCATCGCGGCCTTCTGGACCAGAAATGCCAGGAACAGATCCGAGAACTCTAACCTCGCCAGCATTTGCGGAAGTGGCTTCAAAGACAAATTCTTGCGAAAGATCATCCCGACCCCCCCCCCCGAGAGTAGCGCCCCCGCCAGCTGGAAACCCTGCCTGGAAGTGCGGCCGCCGACGCATATCAGCACGCTCTCCGTTGGCAGCGGGGAGCGCACGCGCCTTCAAACGATGCTCGCGAAGCAAGAATGCGCCAGCATGCTGTCGAACCTCAGAGGCGAAATCTTCGGCAACAGCTGACCACAAAGTAATGCTAGAAAAGCATGAAAGACACACCTCCTCCTACTTTTCTCGGGCCAACCAGTGCCTGATGGGCAGCGCGCCGCGTGCAACCCAATCTGCGGTACCGCCGGCATGGTGGCACCTGCGGCCCTGACCGCGTCTTGGACTTCGAAATGGAATTATTTCAGACCGCCCGCACACGCTTGACCGTCCCGGCCTATGCCTTGGCCGGCGTGGGCTTCTCAGACTCGTCGTGTTCCTCAGGGGCGAGCACGGCCTCGCATCCTCTTTTCCCCAGGTTCCGAAGCTCGTCGGGCTCCTCCTTTGCTTCACTGCCAGGATCACTATTGGACGCCCGAGTTATCCGGGGTAACTCGGGTCCGGGGTAACTCGGGTTTGGGTTCCCGGAAAACGAACCCGAGTCAACCCTGACCTGAGTTATCCCTGATGATTCGGGGCTCTGGACGCCCGAAATATCCGGGGTAACTCGGGTCCGGGGTAAGTCGGGTTCGGATTCTCGAAAAACGAACCCGAGTTATCCCTGACCCGAGCTACCCCTGACGATTCGGGGCTCTGACACTACGTATGGCATCACGAATGGTCTGGGGCGATTGCCGACGACGCTCTCGACACCACTTGCCGAGCTCCTCCTCCTCCGTGTTTAGCGAGATTGGGCGGGCCCACCTGCAATGGAGGCCAGTCCACAAAGAAACTGCCTACAAGAAACCCAAACCTGAGAGACCCCAGGAAGAAAGACTGGTCTACTCTGTAAGAACGGTTTTTTGAAGGCAGATCTGCCTTCAAGGAGGAAAAACTGGTCTACTCTGTAAGAACGGTTTGTTGAAGGCAGATCTGCCTTCAAAAAACCGTTCTTACAGAGTAGAGCATTTTTTTGAAGGCAGATCTGCCTTCAAAAAACCGTTCTTACAGAGTAGTTCATGGATTTCACGTGTGGGAGCGTCGTGCGTTCCATGGTAACACCATCGAGACCCACGAAACTCAGGGCACGAGGGCTGTCCGTGGCGGCTGCGTGCCTCTTCGGCGCCCTGGCTGCATCGCGCGCTCCGAGGGGCCGTCGGGGCGCCGCTTGGCGAGTACCCGTGCCCCTATCCTCCTCCTCCTCCTCCTCCTCCTCCTCCTCCTCCTCCTCCTCCTCCTCCTCCTCCTCCTCCTCCTCCTCCTCCTCCTCCTCCTCCTCCTCCTCCTCCTCCTCCTCCTCCTCCTCCTCCTCCTCCTCCTCCTCCTCCTCCTCCTCCTCCTCCTCCTCGCCCTCTGCTGGCCAGGGTGGTGCCTTCAGGCTGCAAAGGGGGCGAGGAGGCGGGCGTCTCTCGGCATGGGCTCCCCACTGCACGCGTCGGCGGCGCCAGCTGCACGCCGCACGCCTTCGCCGGCCAGGGCTGGACCTAAACGCTGCTTTCGCTCTGTTTCCGTTCGGTGCTTCGTTCTGCTCCGCGTGCGTGTTCCTGCGCCTCCCTCCCAGGACGAGAAGAACGAGACATGGCCGAAGTCCCGCAGGACAGCGTTTGGTTCCAGCCCCGTCGCCAGCTGCACCATCGACTGGTGGAAGCGGCCGAGGAGGTTCGCCGCCGGCCTTGGGCGCGGCCCGGCGGAACGCCCAGGGCGCCACCCGGGGCGCGGCGGGGAGAGAGGCCCTCACTGGCCCTGCGGGCCTCCCTCGAGCCATGGGAGAATCACGACGCGAGGTTTTTCGCTGTCTTCGGTCTCCGGGGGCCCCCGCAGGGCCGCGGGGCCGCCAAGAAACGACTCGGGGTGTGGGTCCAGACCTCTGGGTCCTCCTTGCTAGCGTCGATCCACACCTCGGTCGCGAAGACCTGCAGGGCTCGAGCTGCTTCCAATCGATGTTTTTCAGCTTCCTCGACCAGCGCGTCCGTAGTCTCGTCAAGTTGAAGTCGATGTGTTTGTATTTTCGCCTTCCTTTGCTCCACATCCTGCAAACAAAGGCGCATTTGGTGAGATGCATCCTCCACGCGTGTTGCCTGTTCCGTCTTCTCGGTGTTGGCGGCGGTCCTCCCAATGCGCTGCACACAGCATCGGGGCGGACTCGCGGAGGAGCATGAACTCACAGAGCTTCCCCTGCAACTCACGACGATGGGCCAACAATTTGGCCACTGAATTTTATCGGGGACTCCATCAACAAACCTGTTCGACCAAACTCTCAAGCCTTCCGTTCGAACGTCACCCGCAAACGACTTGTAGGCCCCACTGCACTTGGGGCACGTGGTGTGCCTTTCACTCTTGTACTCCTGGTGTCTGCACGAAAAGCAGACATAGTAGGGCTGAACTCGCATGCTTCGCCAACTGGACATGGGACAATCCCGATCATCAACTGGCTGGAACACCTACGTGTCCGACTTTCTCCACTTGAAGCCTGGGCGGCGACCGCGGCTGCCTCACCACGGAGGAGCACGATCACCACCGCTATCGCGAGTAGCCGTCATGGGACCCTGGGTGGCGCTCGGGACTACATGAACGGGAAATGCCTTCGTTCACCCGCAGCCCCAAACGCCAGGTCCGTCGAACGAGAGAGACTCTTCCAGACTTCGAGAGATCTTGCCTGCCGAGAAATGGCCGGATCCACTTTTTCCACTGATGAATTGGTCGCCTTGGGACAGAATGGCTACGGGAAATGGAGGAGGACGAGGAGGAGGAGGGGAAGGACGAGGAGGAGGAAGAGGAGGAGGAGGAGGAGGAGGAAGGAGGAGGAGGAGGAGGAGGAAGGAGAAAGAGGAGGAAAACGAAAGATGAGGAGGAGGACAAGGACAGATGAGGAGGAGGAGGAGGAGGAGGAGGAGGAGGAGGAGGAGGAGGAGGGAGGAGGAGGACGACGCAAGCGAGCGGCCGAGCGCGGGGCTTGTTGGGCGAGTAGCCCTTCTGGGCCTGGGCGCCGGTGGGCAGGCGGAATGCTCCTCTGGCCCGTCCTGCGCCGCTCGTCGCCCGCTTCTCGCTGATCGCTCCTCGCTGATCGCTCAACGCTGAATCGCTCCTCGCTCCCCCTCCGCGTCGCTCCTCGCTTCCCCTCCCCCTCCTCCTCCTCCTCCTTCTCCTCCTCCTCGTCCTCGTCCTCTCCTCCTCCTCCTCCTCCTCGTCCTCGTCCCCCTCGTCCTCGTCCTCGTCCCGTCCTCCTCCTCCTCCTCCTCCTCCTCCACGTCCTCGTCCTCGTCCTCGTCATCCTCCTACTCCTCCTCCTCGACCTCGTCCTCGTCCTCGTCCTCGTCCTCGTCCTCCTCGTCCTCGTCCTCCTCGTCTTCGTCCTCCTCGTCTTCCTCGTCTTCCTCGTCCTCCTCGTCCTCCTCGTCCTCCTCGTCCTCCTCGTCCTCCTCGTCCTCCTCGTCCTCCTCGTCCTCCTCGTCCTCCTCGTCCTCATCGTCCTCCTCGTCCTCCTCATCCTCCTCGACCTCTTCGTTCTCCTCGTCTTCCTCGTCCTCCTCATCCTCCTCGTCCTCGTATTGGCATGCAGTGGCATGCATTGGCATTCGTTGGCATGCGTTGGCATTCGTCCTCCTCCTTGTCCTCCTCGTCCTCCTCGCTCTCCTCGTCCTCCTCGTCCTGCTCGTCCTTCTCGTCCTCCTCGTCCTCCTCGTCCTCCTCGTCCTCCTCGTCTTCGTCCTCCTCGTCTTCCTCGTGTTCCTCGTCCTCCTCTGCTTCCTCCTCTGGTTCCTCCTCTTCTTCCTCGTTTTCTTCCTCCTCCTCTTCCTCTCTCCTTCTCCTTCTCCTTTTCCTCCCTCCTTCTCCTCCTCCTCCTCCTCCTCCTCCTCCTCCTCCCTCCTCGTCGTCCTCGTCCTCGTCCTCCTCCTCCCCCCCCTCCTCCTCCTCCTCCTCTCCTCCTCCTCCTCCTCCTCCTCCTCCTATCCTCCTCCGACCTCCTCGTCCTCCTCCTTCTCCTCGTCCTCCTCCTCCTCCTCGTCCTCCTCGTCCTCCTCGTCGTCCTCGTCTTCCTCGTCACTCTCGTCCTCCTCGTCCTCCTCGCTCCTCCTCGTCCTTCTCGTTTTCCTGGTCCTCATTTTGCTCGTCGTCCTTCTCGTGCTCCTCGTCTTTTTCGTCCCCGTCGTCATCCTTGTCCTCCTCTTCTTTCTCGTCCTCCCCGCCTTCCTCGACTTCCTTGTCCTCCTCGTCCTCCTCTCCTCGTCCTCCTCTCCTCCTCCTCCTCGTCCTCCTCGTCCTCCTCCTCGTCCTTCACGTCCTCCTCGTCCACACCCTCGTCCTCCTCCTCCTCCTCCCTTCTTCTCCCCCCGTGCCAATGGTGCGCAGCCCACCGCCCTGGCCAAGCACTGCTCGGCCACCGCGAAGAACACGCAGGCCGCCCGGCCGGGGCGACCTGCCGCGTCGAGCAGGGGGGCCTGCCATCTCATCTCGCTGGCAGCCTCCTCCGCTGCCCCAGTGGTCTCGCCACCCAGCTCGGTCGCGACGTCGAACCCTGGGCGCCTGCAGCGCCCGCGCCCTGGCCTGGCGACTCAGTCGGCTGAAGGTCAGACGCGCCGGCAGCGCGGGCGAGTCGCGGCGGGGCGCGGCGCCTCCACCCGCGGGCTGAGAAGGCTCCTGTTGAGTAGTCGGGTGAGGACGCACAAGGCGCCTTCAAGGAGACCATCAATTTCCGAAAAACAACTCACACGACCCGTCTGGAGCTACGCCACCGGGTCGACACAGGCAATCCGGTTTCAAATCGGGGTCCTCCCAACCCCGCTAAACAATCGCCATGTCGAGCGAACAGTTGCTTACTCGACATCTCAGCAGACTGGACATCATTTCCGGGCTCCTCCATTCCGGCCTTATGAATCAGGTTATTCTTTGACATTGACCCCGTCATGCGTGGGCATTGGCCTTTTCATGTGTTGGTCCCTCATCTTCCCGCTCAAAACGCTACCCCTAACAGGGCAGCTCTTCCCGTGTGCTACCCCTGACCAAGGTAATCAACAATTTTCCCCGCACGCGCAACCCTCACCTTGACATGCGTTGGCACGCATTGGCATTCATTGGCATGCGTTGGCATGCGTTGACATGCGTTGGCATGCGGTGGCATGCGGTGGCATGCAATGGCATGCGTTGGCAGGCGTTGGCATGCGTTGACATGCACTGGCATGCGTTGAGATGCAGTGGCGTCCATTGGCATGCGGGAGCATGCGTCATACGTTGGTATGATTTGGCATGCGTTGGCATACGTTGGCATGCATTTACATGCGTTGGCTTGCGTTGGTATGCATTGGCATGCGTTGGCATGCATTGGCATGCGTTGGCATGCGTTGGCGTGCATTGGCATGCGTTGGTATGCTGGGGCATGATTTGGCATGTGTTGGCATGTGTTGGCGTGCGCTGTCATGAGTTGGCATGCGCTGGCATGCATTGGCATGCGTTGGCCTGGTATGGAACGCGTTGGCATGCACCGGCATGAATTAGCATGCGTTGGCATGCCTTGGCGTGCGTTGGCATGTATTGGCGTGCTTTGGCATGCATTGGCATGCGTTGGCACGCGTTGGCATGCATTGGCGTGCTGTGGCAGGCGTTGGCATGCAGTGGCATGCGTTGGCGTGCTATGGCACGCGTTGGCATAAGTTGGCATGCTCTGGCATGCGCTGGCATGCGTTGGCACGCATTGGCATGTATTGACATCCATTGACATGCGCTGGCGTGCGTTAGCATCCATTGGCCCCCTTTGGCGTGCGTTCGCATGCATTGGCATACGATGGCATGCGTTGGCACGTTGGCATGCGTAGACGTGCATTGGCATGCGTTGGCATGCAGTGGCATGCATTGGCATGCGTTGGCGTGCGTTGGCATGCATTGGCGTGCGTTGGCATGCATTGGCATTCGTTGGCATGTGTTGGTATGCGCTGGCATGCGCTGGCATGCGCTGGCAAGCGTTGGCGTGCACTGGCATGCGTTTGCATGCAGTGGTGTGCATTGGCATGCACTGGCATGCGTTGGCATGCGTTGTCCAGTCATATCACAGGCATATTTGCATCATTTGCACTGCGGCTGTATACGCTGGCGCCGTTCGCACTGGAACTCTGCCAACACTGTGGGCTACGGCGATGCTTCGCATACCCATATAGCCTGCGGTCCGTTGTTTCGGCTGGCCCGACTCAACAAATAAGGCTGGGTTCTGGTAGCTAGGTAGGAAAGTCCAGTTCCGTCCGCACTGGGACTCTGCCAGGACTGTGGGCTACGGCTATGCTTCGCATGCCCGTCTAGCCTGCGGTCCGTTGTTTCGGCTGGCCCGGCTCAGCAAATACGGCTGGAGTTCTGGTAGCACGCCGCGCTAGATAGGCAAGATCTTGGGAATTCTGCTGGGGCTTCGGGCTAAGGTCATTGGGTTTGCGTGACTCTAAAAGTGTTGAGAGTCATGCCAACTTCTAGTCCCCCAGCCACGACCCAGAGGGTCGTACAGTAAGATTGGAAAGGGGGAGCCGAAGAGGGGGATGGGGGAGGGAGAGGAAGGACCCCACGACGACGACGACGACGACGGCCAGCGCGCGGGCCGCTTCCGCCCCAGGGAGGGCCGCCCGCCCGTGCGGGGATAGCTTCAAGGTTCCCGCCTGCTCCCACTGCCTCCCCCCTTGCGCTCTCCTCTCTCCCTCCCCCTCCCCCGTCCCAAGGCTGGTAGCCCAAGCCGGCTTTTGACGTGGGGCTGCTAGCCTGGGCGGGTCCCCGCTCGAATCCCCCATAAACAGGCTGCGAGTTGGGGTTTCCCCATGCAATAGGTGTCCCCCATTGGCAGTACCTAGTGCGGCCAACGGCCCTAAGGCACTGTTCGATGGCGACAAGCTCGCTGACCTGCCTGTTTGGTCAGTGGTCCTCCCTTCTTCTTCTCCTCCTCCTCCTCTTCCTCCTCCTCGTCCTCCTCCTCCTCCTCGTCTTCCTTGTCCTCATCGTCCTCCTCGTCCTCGTCCTCGTCCTCGTCCTCGTCCTCGTCCTCGACCTCCTCCTCGTCCCTCTCGTCCTCCTCGTCCTCCTCCTCGTCCGCCTCCTCCTCGACCTTGTTGTTCTCGTTGTCCTCCTCCTGGTCCTCTTCGTCCTCGTCGTCGTCCTCCTCTTCCTCCTCCTTGTCCTCATCATCCCTTTTCCTCCTCCTCCTCTTTCGCCTCGTCCTCCTGTTCTTCCTCCTCTTCTTCCTCCTCGTCTTCCTCCTGTTCTTCCTCCTCCTCCTCCCTCCTCCTTCCTCGTCCTATTCCTCCTCGTCCTCCTCTTCCTCCTCGTCCTCCTCCTCCTCCTCCGCCTCGACCTCCTGGTCCCCCTTGTCCTTCCCGTCCTCCTCATCCTCCTCGTCCTACTCATCCTCCTCGTCCTCCTCAACCTTCTCGTCCTCCTCATCCTCCTCGTCCTCCCCGTCCTCCTCGTCCTCCTCGGCCTGCTCGTCCTCCTCATCCTCCTCGCTCCTCCTTGTCCTCGTCCTCATCCTCCTCCTCGTCCTCCTCGTTCTCCTCGTTCTCCTCGTCCTTCTCTTCCTCCTCGTCCTCCTCCTCCTCGTCGTCCTCGTGCTTCTCGGCCTCCTCCTCCTCCTCGTCCTTCTTCTTTTCTTCGTCCTCGTCATCCTCCTCCTCCTCCTCGGCTCCTCCTCCTCTCCTCCTACCCCTCCTCCTCCTCCTCCTCCCTCCTCCTCCTCCTCCTCCTCCTCCTCCTCCTCCTTCCCCTCCTCCTCCTCCTCCTCTCCTCCTCCTCCTCCTCCTCCTCCGTCCTCCTCCTCCTCCTTCTCCTCCTCGTCCTCGTCCTCCTCTCCTCGTCCTCGTCCTCCTCGTCCGTCCTCGTCCTCCTCGTCCTCTCGTCCTCCTCGTCCTCGTCCTCCTCGTCCTCCTCGTCTTCCTCGTCCCCCTCGTCCTCCTCGTCCTCCTCGTCCTCGTCGACCTCCTCCTCCTCCCTCGTCCTCCTCGTCCCCTCGTCCTCCTCGTCCTCTTCGTCATCCTCGTCCCTCTCGTCCTTCTCGTCTTTCTCCTCCTTCTCCTCCTCCTCCTCCTCCTGCTCCTGGGTCTCCTCATCCTGCTCCTCCTCCTCCTCCTTCTCCTCCTCCTCACTCCTCCTTCTCCTCTTGCTCCTCCTCCTTCTTGTCCTCCTCCTCCTCCTCGTCCTCCTCGCATTCCTCGTCCTCGTCCTCGTCCTCCTCGTCCTCGTCCTCCTCGTCCTCCTCCTCCCTCCTCCTCCCTCCTCCTCGTCCTCCTCCTCCTCCTCCTCCTTCTCCTCGTTGTCCGGGTCGTCCTCGTCCTCGTCCTCGTCCTCGTCCTCCTCCTCCTGCTCTTCCTCGTCCTCCTCGTCCCCCTCGGCCTCCTCCTCCTCCTCCTTCTCGTCCTTCTCGTCCTCTTCGTCCCCTTCGTCATCGTCCTCGTCCTCGTCCTCGTCCTCCTCCTCCTCCTCCATTCCTTTTTTATGCATAATTTCTCCATGTCGCACCCCAAGGCCAGTTTTTAGGGGGGTCCGGGCGTGTCTCTTGGGATCTTCACCACTAATGACTGTTAAGCTTAAACTATGGTGGCAATTTTGCACATGGAGGGCGGGCGGTTTTCACCATGTGGCTGTCGCCTAAGCGCGGCGCACATTCTTTTTAACCGTTTGCAAGGGTTTCACGGATTGAGGGCGGGTGGCGTTCAGTTCAACATGTGGCTCTCGCCTTATCGCGACGCACATTCTTTTAAACCATTGCAAGAGTTTCACGGATTGAGGGCGGGTCGTTTTCGAACAAAATGCGGTAACTTCACGGATTGGGGGCGTTCCCTTTCAAAATGTGGCTCTCGACCTCGCCGTGCGCATTCGTTTACAACATGTGCAGAAGTTTCACGGATACCCATCCTGAACGTACCAAACGCTAGTTTGCAAATATTCAGGACTCCGCGGGTGAAACAGTTACGTTGGTTCGCTGTGCTGAAGTCCAAGGCATGGCCTCCTGGCACGATTCAGGATCTTCAAGGCGCAACAATCAGGTTGGTTCATCCGTGGCGTTGGAATCCTGAGAATAATGTTTTGGCATGCTTCAGGGTCTTCAAGCGATTATCTTCGAACCAGGCAATTCCCTCAATGGAAATGAGCCGTTGTAGGGGCCTATGCAAACGGAGCTCGGAGGGAGGGTTTAGTACAACATCGTTGATGACTCTTGGGTTTACACTGGTCCTACTCCTCCTTCCCCTCCTCCTCCTCCTTGGCCGCCTCCTCACTCCTCCTCCTCCTCCTCCTCATCTTCCTCCTCCTCACTCACTCATTCCTCCTCCTCCGCCTCTCGGGGGAAACCTCCTTCCCACCCGATCCACCTCCAGATCGACTCGCACGCCTGTGCCCCCAGTTCTGGGAGGATGGTCTACCCCGTCTCGCCGCCCAACTGTTGAGACGTCGTTCTTCTGCCACATGCGGCTGAACGCACCGTTCCTCCTCCTCCTCCTCCTCCTCCTCCTCCTTCTCCTCCCCCTCCATCTCCTCACATCTCCTCCTCCCCCTCCACCTCCCCCTCCCCCTCCCCCTCCTCCTCAACCTCCTCCTCCTCCTCCTCGCAACTCAACGCTCCTCTTCCTGCTGGGGCGGACGGAAGAGGGGATAGCATCAAAAGTGGCAAGTTGGCAAATCGGCTGCATGCTGCTGGTCTTCCTGGCACCTCTCGGCGCAAGAGGTGGGCATGTCTCGTCCTGGCGGCGGGGACGAAACCAACTGCACGCAGCAGTTCCCACGTCCAGGCGGTCGCCGACGGCGAGGGGAGGAGGGGGGAGGAGAGTCGGAGAGGAGGAGGATGAGGAGGAGGAGGGGAAAGAGGAGGAGGAGGAGGTGGAGGAGAGGAGGAGGAGGAGGAGGATGAGGAGGAGGAGGAGGAGGAGGAGGAGGAGGAGGAGGAGGAGGAGGGGAGGGACGAGGAGGAGGAGGAGGAAGGAGGAGGAGAGGAGGAGGAGGAGGAGGAGGAGGAGGAGGAGGAGGGAGATGAGGAAGGAGGAGTGAGGAGGAGGAGGAGGAGGAGGAAGAGGAGAGGAGGAGGAGGAGGAGGAGGAGAGTGGAGGAGGAGGAGGAGGAGGAGGAAAGAGGGAGGAGGAGGTGGAGGAGGAGGAGGAGGAGGAGGAGGAGGAGGCCGAGGAGGAGGAGGAGGAGGAGGAGGAGGACAGGGGGGTCGAGGCTCGGCGGCCCGCAGCAAGCAGGCAGAGGAGCAGGAGGAGGAGGAGGAGGAGGAGGAGGAGGAGGAGGAGGAGGAGGGGAGGAGGAGGAGGAGAGGCGGAGGACGAGGCAGAGGAGGAAGGGAGGGAGGGGGACGGAGGCAGGAGGGAGGGAGAGAGGGAGGAGGAAGCGGGCGACAAATGTCTCAACTGGCCCCTCATGGGGGAAGCAAAACGTACCGATACCGCTACTCCCTGGACCTCTCGCGGGGTGCGTTCTGACTAGCACTTCGAGGCGAATTCAGCGGTGGCGACGAGGGCCTCCCAGGAAGCCCCAAAAGGGGCGGGCGAAGGCCTCGGCCGAGGTCGCCTCTCGGCGCCCCGGTGCCCCCCCAGGGCCCCCCGACGACGCAGATCGCACACCACACCGTGGCGTGTCGAAGGAGGGGGAGGAGGAGGATGGGGAGGAGGCGGAGGAGGAGGAGGAGGATGGGGAGGAGGAGGAGAGGAGGAGGAGGAGGAGGAGGAGGAGGAGAGGAGGAGGAGGAGGAGGAGGCAGAGGTGGAGAGAGTGTGAGAGGAGGGGAGGGAGGGGGAGGAAGGAGGAAGGAGGAAAGGAAGGAGGAAGGAGGAAGATGATGATGATGATGATGATGATGATGATGATGATGATGATGATGATGATGATGATGATGATGATGATGATGATGAAGATGATGAATGATGATGATGATGATGATGATGAGAGATGATGATGTGATGATGATGATGATGATGATGCTGATGATGATGATGATGATGATGATGATGTGATGATGTTGATGATGATGATGACGAGGAGGAGGAGGAGGAGGAGGAGGAGGAGGAGTGGGAGGAGAAGGAGGAGGAGGAGGAGGAGAGGAGGAGGAGGAGGAGGAGGAGGGCGAAGGAGGAAGAGAGAGGAGGAGCAGTTCCCTCCGCTCGCCCTTCCCCCCTTCGTCTTCCCTGATCCCCTTTCGCCCGTCCCCCCTTCGTTCTCCCCTTCGCCCGTCCCTCCTTTGTTCCCCCCTCCTTTCAGGAGAGGAGGAGGAGGAGGAGGAGGAGGAGGAGGAGGAGGAGGAGGAGGAGGAGGAGGAGGACGAGGAGGAGGAGGAGGAGGAGGAGGAGGAGGAGGAGGAGGAGGATGGAGGGAGGAGTGATTACCCTGGGGATTACCCTGAGAGGTGCGAATGTACCGAAGGCTGCGCTAGCACTGGGAGGCTCCTGTGGCCTGTGCTGCTGCTGCTGCTGCTGCTGCTGCTGCTGCTGCAACTCCCCTACCTTTGCTGGCACTGCTGACACGGAGGGAGGAGGGAGGAGGGAGGAGAAGGAGCAGGAGGACAAGGAGGAGGAGAAGGAGGTGGAGGAGGAGGACGGATGAGGACGACGAGGGAGGACGGGGGGGAAGGACGAGGGAGGAGGAGGGCCGCCGAAGTCTCAGCTGGTCCCTCGCCTGGCCGCTCCTCCGCTGGGAAGCGCCCGGCCGCAGCCTGGACGACGAACTGGCGCATCACCTCTTTGTCCACCGTCTCCTGGGGCGGGGGCCGCGGCGCCGCCTTCTGGCGGAGAGGAGGAGCCCTCGGCCGTCCCCCGCCCACGGCGCCCGCACAGTCGCCTCGGCGGCGGGCGAGCGGGGCAAGCGAAAAGGGGTCGGGGATCTTCATCCGGACCCGGGTCGGGCAGTCTGGAGGCAGGAGAGGGGTGTGGTGTCAAGGGGCGTGGTGCCAAAGCTGGATCTGGCGAGGTTGGCTGTCGCAGATAGCATCGCCATGTCCACGATTGGCACACCACCCCTGTATGCCACACCCCGTTCCAACCTCCAGAATCAGGCCTCGCAGGGTCCTGCACAGGATCCTGCGCCCAAGCCCAGGTCAGTGCAGCCCTGGCTCTGCAGGATCCTGCAAGATCCGGCGCCCCAGGTGACCCCCGTTTGCACTGACCGCCGTCTCTTGAGCGCCGCGGGGGAGGGTTTCTAGGAAGCCGGGGCTACGCCCGAGGCGCCGCCAGGAGGGCCGGTGCCGACCCGACGAATCCGCGGAACTCCGAAAGTTGATGCGGATGCCTTCAACTTCCGGAGGAGGAGGAGGAGGAGGAGGAGGAGGAGGAGGGGGAGGAGGATGGATGGATCAGCGCCTTGTCGAGAGGTGACAGCACCAAAAGCATGGGGGGATCGACCCGAGTTAAACCGCCCCTGAAGCCCTTGCCTCTTCTTTAGCTTTAATTCTGGCAGCAAAAGCCGCCATACGCTGCTCGTACGAGGGGGCCGAGGGAGAGTCCGAAAACGCTCGCGGGACTGAGGTAACACACAGCTCGGGTTTATCGTCCGTATCACGAGCAACAACTAAGCGTGCTACAGGCAACGCCTTTTCCAGCACTTTTCGAATCTTTGGGTTAGGGCCCGCCTAAAACGGCTGAGGACATCCAGTCCCTTACGCGTAGGCTTACCACAGACCTCAGCGAGCTTCACGGCTTTCCTTTGAGACCAACCCCCGCATTTTAAACGCAGAATCTGCTGCTCTCGACAGGGCCCCAGGACAGCCTCCGACCGCGGAACCTCAAAAAGCCGAGCCCGACACAGCGACGAGCTGATGCCCCAGGGGATCTCGCAGCAGCTTCTGGAGAGCAGGAGGCGGACCCCTGCAACCGAACATGGGCCTGTCGGGTCGATCACACACCGTCCAACAATACCTGCATTGCGTCCCAAGTTCGGTTCTCCTCCAGCGATGCCAGGTCTTCTGCTGGCGGCTTCTCCCCTGGGTGGTGAAAGCGGCCCTCTTCCAACGCACTTCGTTTTTAAAGAGGGGCAAAACTCCAGCAGCAAGCTGTATGAACGCATCAGCTCGCTTCTGATACAAATCAACATGGTCCAAAAACGTGGGCAGGGGCCGCGTGTGGCCCTCAAGGGCCTTCTTTGCGTGCTCGTCCACAGCACGATTCGCGAAACCAAACCTGCGATCGTCGCCTTCCAGCTCCTCGAGAGCAGACAACTCACGATGGGCCTTTTTCATGGAAGGTCGACAAGAACTCCGTGTCTGCTAGCTCATGGGCAAACCGCCTCGCACCAGCACGTTTATTGGAGCCAGCAAATTGCTTCCACAGAGGCCTCTGGGTCTGACAAATCACAGCTTTACAATCCAGGGCCAGGGAAGCGGGGCGATCTGCTACCTGCCCGACTAGGGCCGCCCCCGCATGTTCTGCCATCGCAGGGGTTTGGGGGGGACCACCAGGCACAATGCCCCTGAGGATGGCCAAGAGAGACTCGCTGCCTGGCTCCATGAGCGCGATCGCCCACGAAGCGCGTTGGAGACAGCGAAGGGCCTGCTTCGTGCAGCTCCCGTCCGACGCCATCTCCACAACGTCTCCTGCGAGCGCCGCGAGATCCTCAGGCTGCATGCTCAAATCGGCCCCTGCACCGTCGAGGATGTCACAATGGGAGTGCGAGGCAGGAGGGGGCACATCATCATGAGAACGTGAGAAGCCCACGAGTGAACACAGGATCATCGCTGCGTGCCCCCTCCTCTAAAATTTCCGACGGGATCTCGAGCTCTCGTCGGGCCTCCACAACCTCTTGGCGCTCGCAAGTGCACAGCCTATGGTGCAACGTGTCGCGCTGGCCGCACACGCGCACATGCCATCTGTCAAGTAACCGGCATCACACGCGCGAGCCTCGGTCCAAATCGCATCCGCGGCGCAGGACAAAAGGAGGAGCTGCTGCTGCCGAGTGCGATGCTTACTGCGCGTGCACATGCAATTGCGCACAAGGTCGAACGTAGCACGCATGCCCTGCACATGTCCAAGCCTGCGTGCAAAACGAAACTCAGCCTCGCGCTGCAAACCCTCTCTCAAAAGATCGAGAAGGAGGCGAGGCGGGGTCTTGCTTATATCTACGGTGCACCCCCAATGGTCGATCCACTGCGTCCCTGACACCACTTTCCAGCCAGCGCGACGAGCCGACAACGTGGCGCGAGACAAGGGGCCACGGCTGGACTTCCAATCGCCAGCATCGCTGGCCTTGGCCTGCCCCCAAAGTTGAAGCAGCTCCTGGAAGGGAATCAGGGAACGAGTGGGATTGACCGGGGAATTCCAAAGCATTCGACACCACTGAAGGGCAGGACCCACTGCTACTCGAGTGTCCCGCTCTCCATACAGCACAAGCTTCGCAGTCGCCCTTGTCCCTCCGCGAGACGGGGGCAACCTTCGAGCTTGTGTCCTTCGCACAGTGTTAAGCTCAGCTTCCGAGAACCCCAAGACCTCAGACCCGTGCGACGACGCAGGAGCAACGCCCGCGCGAAGGACCTGAGACAAACCTTTCTTGGCCTCCTTGTTAGGAGCTCGAGACTTAAACCTGCCAGTCATTTTTACTCTCAGCTTCATTCCCCAGAGGCGGGACCGCTGTTTTACACGCGCACGGGCAGACGAACGCTGTGCACCAGCACTGTCACAACGCCGAGATAAGTGACTGAGTGCTTCACAACCTTGGGCTCAAGCCCTGGGCCTCGCACGACATCCCGTGCAAGTGAAACCTCGCTGGCGACAACGGCGACCTTATCATTGATCACCGCATTCATCTGCTTACTCGCGTGATAAAAAGCACGGCCTGCGGATATGGCAAGTTGCACGGCACTCTCTCTGGGAGCTGGATATCTGCATGCCCGAGTCGTCTATATAAGACGTGAAACGAACAAGAGGAGGCTGACTAGCAACAAACTCATCAAACGCTTTAACTGCATGCACCTTGATGCTGCTATATTTGAAGCAGTCCCCAGCGGGTAAACCGAAATCAGCATGGGCGACCCCGTCAGAGCGATGCTGCCTGAGGCGCAACACCCGAGGAGCCCTCCACACATTGAACACGAGTTTCACAAATGCAGTGGGCACCTCGACTTCGAGAAACTTGCCCCGAAGCCCGAGAAGGGGAATCGTCTCATAGTACTTACTATAATCTGCAATTAGGAGTCCACTGAAGCGGTTGGAGGTCACATCGGCCTCCGCTCTCGCCGCTTGTGCCCACGCACAGTCCACAGAACTCCTCCCCCGACTCGCCCCCCAGTACCCGCGCTCCACCTCCTCCATGAGAGCACCTAGCATGGGCCGCCTCAGCCTCTGCCAGGTGCGGTACATACCGCTATAGAGCACGATTAGCCTGTGTCCTGTCGATGGTTTCGGCAAAATTGGCATTGGCACCCGCGACAGCTGCTTGGGTCAGAGGCCGATCGCCTCACAGCACTGCCACAAACCTGCTAACAGATCTAAGCCATCATCATCGAGTAGCAGGAAATGCCGTGGATGAAACTGATCCAAGGACCTGGCCGTCGTCTCAGAAAAGCTCTGAATAAACTGCGCACTTCCCCAGGATCGGCCCGAGGAAAGCTGGGCCGATCTGGGATCCAGGCAACCGGTGGGGTGGCGGTCGCTCGCCAGAGCTTGCGATGAATCTGCGGCTCGTGCTGCGCTACACTATGGGGGTCAGCGCAGGGGCCTCTGGGATCATGGACAACCGTAGGGGGAACAACGCTCCGAACCTTCGTGACCCTGTGAAGGCCCCGCACACCTCCCATGCTGGCAGTCTTGCACCCTTGCACCAATCACTCCAGCTGGTCTGGATTTCCTGTGATGCACCTTTTACAGCTACTGACGCGTCCTCAGAGATATCTTCGAGAAATTGCTTAACATCTTCCCGAAAAAACTCCTGACACAACATGCTTCGCGCCTGCTTTACCGAGTTATCTAACCGAGCGCTCAGACCGAGCCCTGGGCAATCGGAATCCCGAAAAAAAACAGCTAACTCGGCTAGCATAGCATTCTGAGTGGCATCATTCATATCATCTAAATCCGCTAGCTGACCTAGGTGCTGGACTCCGTTACGAAGCCACTGCCACCGGTCCGCTACTAAACACTTCTCGCTGTCATCAGGCACAGGATATTCAACGTTGACCCGGTGCGGTGCAACTTGGCGCCCAAACGTACCGAAGGTATCTTGCGCGCCCCCAGTGCAAGTACTGATGTGCCGTGCAGCGATCTGGGCAAACTTGCCCCAACTCGTACTTGACAGATGATGCGCCACCCCTGGATCGGCCTTCTCGCCCCCCGCCATTTTCACACAGCGCTCAACCAAGCCCCTCACAGGACCCCAGTCGGGCGGCTCGGGACGAGGGCCGAAAGGGGGTGAGATTGAAAGAGAAGGCGCAACGGTGCACTCTAGATGCTGCACCCTGAAACCCTGACTTGCAATTGCTAGTTGCACGGGTCTATGGGGTCTGATCGACCAACTCGTGTCAATATTTACATGTTTATATGCGCGCAAACACGGGTCGTTTAAACCAAAATAATCGATGATCGAACTACCTGTTCCACCTCGGCACGTGCGCAACTTAGTGGACACTAGCGTGAGACCCGCACAGCTACAGAAACCTGAAGCCTCTACTTCATCTGGAGACATGTTCCAGTCGCCGCCAACTATACACGGGCCTTCAGCACTCTCAACAACTGCACCTGCTGCTGCCATTAGCTTGGCATTATTGCCCTGTGGGCC